AAAAGATCAAGGGAACTGGTGAAATGGTCCCAGCCACAGTACAGTTCTCATGGGGAACTGTCCGAACAACGCGAAAAAGGCGCGGTGGCCGACGCGTGGATTCTGACAGAATTTTGCATGTGCACACGGTCTCCAATGGAGATTGGTTGGGCTCCACATGACAAACACACCCTGCTTCCAAGTTGACTTGAAGATCACTTCCCTGCAATCTCAAGATCCTAGAGAAACTAAGGATATGAGTATGAGTCAGCCCCAACAATGACACTCTTCACAAAATGGTTTCGATCGATACTGGTGAGAATGTTTGTTTCCGTTGGTAGTATACCCACCAGCTTCTCCAATCCTCTCTAACAAAATGACAACTACATGTGGGGCTTAACTGTCAAAAAGATAAATATGCAAATCACAATCATCTGCCACGAATGCGGTGAACCCAATTCCGCTATAACTATGGCAACACCAAGTCTTGATTTCATGCAGCCACTATCTGGTGTCCTGCCACGTTTTTTCCTTTTTGATATGATACTTTCTCACTCTCTTGGCATTGATTGTTTTGTTGAAACGATATCGGTTTCAAGCAATGATGTCCTTTTGGGAAAATAGTGGCGGCCAGTTTGGTACCATATCATCGGTATTACCTATTGGTATCCTGTGTCTATTCATCAACCAACTGTAAAAGGCTGTATGTATAAGGTCAAAATGAGGGCGTTTAGATGGACTTTGGATGGTGTGGAGAAGTGCATGACAATAGACCTGGTGCATGACAAGACACTCAACGAGTTATTGTTCTTCTCTCCCACCCTCAATTTTCCACGAGTTGCATACATGCGTGTAGCCTAGCTGTGTATCAATGTATGCATAACTTTCAAACAATGTACAAAAACCACCACCATCATCATCAGCAGCACCATCACTCTCTTTCGCCCTCCCACTTTCTCTGGGAACGGCTTGATTTGCTCTCACACTATGAATGGTTGTCTCTGGAACCCATCCCGGCTCGAACCGCACCAGCCAAGGCAGCACGGCAGGAGGCAAGGAACCTCCTGTTAGTTCAGGAGCATCTTGCGTGGCACATGCTTCAAGCTGGGCATCAAAATATGAGGCTTGATCGCAACGCCAAATGTCGTGGAGTCACCGTGAGTCACCTGTTATCACTTTCACACAATACAGTAGACATCAAAAAAAACACTCTCTCCAATCTCGGCTTAGAGAAAGTTCTAAGACGGAGATCGTCAGGGATCCTCATGCGTCTGAGGAGTGGCCGGCTTGAGGTGTGGGTACAAGAGCCCTTACAGATTAAATGGTCATTTCAACATGCATAGAACCTTGCGGAATATGTCGAACACCGACAATCCTTAGGAACACAACAGTCTCTTCTGCGTTCCTTGTTCACCAGTCTTCAACACCAGGAACAAAAACAAAACAGAATGCATGAAACAGCTTCTGTAAGTGTTCCACATGAGCTGTTTCATGCAGGTTTCCGCCCACACATCATGCAATGTTCACATCCTTCCGACCCCAAATAGCCCCAAGCTTGCGTAAAGGGAAGGGTAAAGGGAAGGTTCTACCCCAACGTGTCTGAAGCCATTGCCTGGATGGGGTGTTGTTTTGGCGACTTTGCAGCATTTGCTCGTTCTCTTGGCAGGAACTCACCAGGGTTTGATCAACCCTCATGAACGTCTTTTGGACATCTCACACAGCATGGCGGCACAGCTCCTGGAGGAGCGCGAGGAGCGCCTTTCAGCACTGTGTCGAGAGTGTCCACGATCAAACGGCTAGGAACTCAAACAAACGGCTTGTGAGACTTGGTGGAGAACAACAACACCCAAGAGTGAGTCCACCCGTGTTCACCGACCCGTCCACCACACCGAAGCAATACACTGGCCAAAAAAAAGTTGCGCTTCTTGAAGCACAAACTCATGCCAACCCTTACCCCGTAGAATCCTACATTGGGAGACCTGGGGCCGTGTGGGCGGTCATGGTTCACACCGAGAAGCCCTTTTATTCATATAAAATTCTAAAACGGTGTGATAATTGGCCGTCCCACACCTGCCACGAAAATTGGACTTGGTAATTCGATCCGCAGCTGACCGCGCAGCGTTTCTTGAACATGGTTAACAAACATAAGCTTTTGTCTGCCTGAAGTATGAAACAATAATCTCAGTGTGAAAGAGCTGGAGTGCTTTAGGGTTCTGCGCGGTTTTGGAGTGAAATCAAGCCTTTTGGAGGGATGTGTACATGCAAAGACGTGTCTCTTATCAGCTCATCGCAGCAGCGAAAAACGCAGGCCATAAAATGATGTTCGAAAGAGGGTTTACCTGGGTATCTGATATGATATTCATACCATTACCAGCACCAGTGGATGATGATGGTTAGTAACGGCCTTTCTCAAACTACAGTGATCACCTTTTCTGGACTGTCACTGGTAATGGGACATATCTTACATACATACATACAGTATATATATATATATTATATATTATATATATATCATATATCAAGTGCGATCTCATCAATCTGATTGCAACTGGTTCCCTGGTTCCTCTTCAGATGCCCAGTTCCCTTACCCACTCCTAACCACAAGCTACCTGATTCTGAGATATCCTGTTGGTTGCTCTGTGCAAGCCGATTGCATGAATCCGGACAGCTGAACTTTGTCCTTCTGTCAACCACTTTGTCCTTGCGTCTCTTCAGCTTCGCAAAGGCTAGCTTGGTGCTTGCCAGTGGCAGCCGCAAAACAAAAAAAACAGGATGAGACTCATTCACATGGCTGTGGGTCATAGCACCAGAAGGTCTGTAGAATCTGATGCATGGACAGTCCTATCTGATGAGGACAAAGCCAGCTTTGGGTGGTACTTAGTACTACTTACTTACTTACTTACTTACTTACCTACCTACCTACCTACTTACTTACTTACTTACTTACTTAAACTTACTTACTTATTTACCTACCTACTTACTTGCTTACCTACCTACCTACTTACCTAATACTTGCTATGTGTATATATATAGTATTTATTTTCTTCTTGTTACTTCTCCCTCCTGGACATGAAGAGCTTTGCGATCTTTTTTCAGCGCCGCCATCTAGGCCAAGCCTCATGGCTTGGCGCTGTGCAAGCGCAAAGGTATCTCCCAAAAACTCACATTGAACCATGAACATGGCACCCTGAAAAAAACAGCAGATTCCTCTACAAACCAATGGTTTTCAGGGTAAACCTGGTAAAATTGGTAAACCTTGTCATGCATGAATATCTGGGGCCGGGCAAAAGGATGAAACAACATTAGAAGGGTTCTCGCCAGGTGGCTCAGGCTTTTGGACACATGATGTGGTCAAGGGGACCTGCCCTTGCGGCACGGGAGGCCAAAGTCTCTCTTGCCTGAAACGATATATCTGGACCTAGAAGATGGATGAAGATGGAGCATTGTTCTTATACTGTTTTGAGTTTTGATTGTTCATGATCGTTCCATACTTTGCAGCATCTACTTTTGCGGGTGACCACAGTGGTTTACTTGGGTGGGCACCTACATCACCGCCCAAGAAGTCTGGAGTGCCAGAGCTTGGAACAACTCTGACCACGCCCGAAAGGATGAATAGGGCATGCCTCAACAACAAAGGGAGACATATGTGTATATGCATATATATATATATATACCAGGGCCTTCCAACAGGTCACCACCTGCGACTTTAAGTTTACAAAAGCCTCCAGAGGAGACCTGTTGGAAGGTGCTGGTACATAATTATACATACATAATCATATATACATACTATCCAGCCAAAAAGAAGGAGATTGGGCCTAGGGCCGTTGATTTTGAGAGATGCTCGGGGTAGGACTTCCAGCCAGATGAAGAAGAACCGTTGATGGAACTGGTGGAGTTCCGTCATTCTGGGCGAACTTCAGACGCTGCAGGAACTTGTGGGTAGCAACCAGCAGGAACTTGGATTTGCTGAGAGAACGCAAAAGAGCCGGGAAAACATATTCCGGAGAATGAGATTCACCGATAGGGATATTGCGTGATATAAACATCAACCTAAGCAAATCCTGGGAATTTTTGATGATTTTTGTTCAATCATTTCTGATCATCTTTTCATCAGCTGCAGATTGGTGATGACCATGCGCGAAGGTAGTCGATTGCCACAGCCTAAGAAGTGTGATATCGGGCCTGCATCACCCGCAATACCAAGCTGCCAAATGGGAATGCATCGAGCACGCAATCGAAACAATGGGGGCTCCCTCTCAAAACTCCCTCACGCTTCAAAGGGAAGGGAGCACTTTTCTGAGAACTTCAAGGTTCTTCCAAACAGGCAGAGGCCCAACTTGTATCAGAACCTTGAAGCATTCCTTTTATCCGAACCAGGCCAACACACTTCAAGGCTCTTCTGTATCAGAGTTGGCATTTTTCAGATCAAAACCTTGAAGCATAGAGCCACTACACGCCACAAAAATGCACATCTACCATGCAAACGAGGGTCCTCGGAGCAAGATCAGCCACGTTTCAACTTTTTGTTGTCTTGCCACTCTTCGGCTTGTATGCGTGTATGGTTGCAGGGAACATGGTGGGTACACGCTCTGCAAGACTTCCCCAAACGGACACCAAAGTAGCTCCTTCACCCATAGATAGTTTATCATAGTTTATCTATATAGAGAAAATCATCAAGCTGAAACATCGGCAGCTATGCAAACAACCGCTCCAAACGTTCCATGTATGTTGAGGCCACCAGAAAGCACTGTACCATACTGTACTTGATGCCTTTCAATCACATGCCTTCGGTGTCGCGTTCATGCTACTATCAGACTACTGTAAACACCCCCCCCAAAAAATGACCAACGAATTGCAAGGAGTGACTGGATGTGAAGGTAACTGACAGCCCGACGAAAAGGACGAAATCCATTATGGAGCAAGCTATTTGGGTGTGAGACAAAAAGTGGGAGACGGAGACCAGGCGTTCCGACCTGGAAGGTTCGGGAAATGACGTGCACCTCTTTCATGATCAGTCAGTGGTTCCCTACAGCCTGTTACTCTGTGGCTGAGTCTGTCACCGAGCTGTCTCACTGGTCGTCGCCAGTCAATCGGAGAGCAACTGATCCTTCAATGGCGGCCTGGAGGCCGTTCGTCCGAAGCGAAGAGTGAGTGCCGGGCCGCTGGGTCTTTCCGTGCCGGTGCTGGAGACAAAATTTGTTTGGATGATCAGGTGCCTTGCCCGGAACTGGATGGTTTAGTTCGTTGCAAATCTCTTTATTTTGAGGCTCACTCAGCTGGAAGCTTTTCCTTATTGCAAAACGGACTCCCTTCCTTCCTTCCTTCCTTCCTTCCTTCCTCATCGCCCGTGGAAAACCCGACGCCCCAACAGGAACTGCCTCAGTCGACTCCCAGTCAAACGTCCGTTTCCGGGTCACTTTTGGGACGTTTGATCTCTCTCGTCGACGGCACCTAGCAGCCACTTCCAGGAGGCACACGGAGTACATGAAGCTGGAGCCGATGAAGACCTTCCAACGATCCACGTCCCCGAGGGAAATTCGAGCGAAAACCCGGAGCGAAAACCGAGGTCCGGACCGGTGAGACCACACGGCCACTCCGTGAAGTGTGTTTTTCGGGGGTGGAGGGGTTTCTGTCCACCTCAAAACGCGGCAGTATTTTCCAGCAGAGAATGGTGACGTACCATTTTTGGATACTTTTTAACTGTTTGTAGGTTTATACGGTGCAGGATTTCTGATCATTTGTTCCACTAGAAAGGCTCCACGTGCCCCACCATAGCGGGAGCAGGGCTTTGAAAGGTCTGAATGCACATGACTTCCACTTCCAATCATTCAACCATCAGTGAGCTGTACATAGTCCTGCTCATAGAGACCTGGAGCATCTGGAGACAAGTTGGATTGGACCATGCTCGTAGAGACCTCTGACTCCTGCTCTGGACCATGAGGGTTACAGTAAGTTGGTCATGTTGCCGCCCCTGTTTTCAGTGTGCTGAATATGTTGGGAAGGTGAACACTTCCGAACCCCAGCACCTGCTGAAGTCAAAGCGTCGTTCCATAAACCCAAAAGCGACTGATTTGTGCATGGACACTGACGTCAAAGCACTTCAGAATATTAAAAAACACGTGAAGGCCACACACCATCAAACAATCAAACTTGCATGACGGATCAACACATCAGAAAAAATTACTTTACTTCGAGTGATCCCCACCTTGACATTTCAATAATGTCTTGATGCCATAGTGAGGAGCATGTTGCCATGGTCGTGAGTATTGTATTTATCGATTTTGCTTGTGGGCCCTCGGGTTGTGTGCTATGATTGTGTGTTGTGGTTGTGGTTGTGCGCTGTGTTGTGGTTGTGGTTGTGTTTGTGATTGTGTGTTTGTGGCTGTGTGCTTGTGGTTGTGTGTTTGTGGATGTGCTTGTTGTGTTTGCGGTTGTGGTTGTGGTAGTCACCAACAAACTATCTTGCTTCAAATAATTTCCTTTTCTTTCACCTGGCATTCTATCTGGCATATCTTCTTGCATTCTATCTGGCAATCTATCATACTATCTGGCATACTGTCTGGCATACTATCTGGCACTTTGTCTGGCATACTATCTGTCATTCTATCTGGCATATCTTCTGGCATTCTATCTGGCATTTTATCTGGCATTCTGACTGGCATTCTATCTGGCAATGTATCTAGCAATCTATCTGACACACTATTTGGCATACAATCTGGCATTTTATCTAGCAAACTATCTGGTTGAGGTCCAGCGGTGCACACTGCGATCGGATCCTTGCGGTTGAGGTCCAGCGGTGCACACTGCGATCGGATCCTTGCGGTTGAGGTCCGGGGATCGGATCCTTGCGGTTGAGGTCCAGGGATGCACACTGCGATCGGATCCTTGCGGTTGAGGTCCAGGTGTGCACACTGCGAGGGGATCCTTGCGGTTGAGGTCCAGGGGTGCACACTGCGCTCGGATCCTTGCGGTTGAGGTCCAGGGGTGCACACTGGGATCGGATCCTTGCGGTTGAGGTCCAGGGATCGGATCCTTGCGGTTGAGGTCCAGGGGTGCACACTGCGATCGGATCCTTGCGGTTGAGGTCCAGGGGTGCACACTGCGATCCGGAGCTTGCCAGACAAGATCGGCGAAGCAGATTGGCGAAGCAGATTGGCGAAGAAGATTGGCGATGAAGATGGGCGATGAAGATTGGCGATGAAGATTGGCGAGGAGGTTGGCGAGGAAGGAAGGAAGGAAGGAAGGAAGGAAGGAAGAGGAAGAACACCTGTGATAAAATCTAACAACCCTCACCTGGCAGGTGGGGAACAACAAGCAAACCACCAACCCAGTTCTACAAAGGCCCCGTGAGATGATTCTTGATGCCAACATCCTCCCGAAACGGCGCCCGTTGACATGTCCGCCCGTTCACACCCAGCGCGGCCCCCCACGGCTGGGTGAACCCTGCGAACAAGTGCCACATTGCATGATGGAACTCGATGCTCGGACCTCATGGGCTGCTCGGATTGCTTGGATGATGGACCCAGAAGAAGGCTCCGTTTGGCGGATCTTGGGACGGAAGTCGATGGCGGAAGTCAGACCTGGTTCTTCAGTTCTCATGTGTATATGGACAATAGGCAGCTGTTTGTGAGAGTTACTGTAGCTGGTTTAGTGTACAGGGTAGAGAGTAGCTTGTAGGAATCCCTCCAAGCTCTCAGAATGTGTTGATTCTCCACGCAGTGCGCCTGTGGTAGGCCAAGCAAATAGATCCGGTCATTTTGAGACAAGACCATGTCCACATTCATATTCGTTGATATGGTTCTTTTGATAAGACTTCCACTTCCACCTCCAACTTTTGAACATTCAGAGCCTCGGACGATGTACAGTAGTCCAGTTGAGTCAAGAGTTGGTGTTCCACCGGAAACCCCCACCTTTCGCTCATCTCTGTTCAAAGTGCCTGCTGAGCAGACACAACCCAAAGAACCCAGCGATGTAGACTATATAACCTGTCTTCAACTCAAAAAGGCCACACGTGGTGGTGAAACTAAAAGGTCATAAACGTTATCAACACCAAATGTTGGTTTTGATCGCCTCTGCCAGGCCCGGCAGCTGAAAATCAGCCGCTTCAACTACCCCTGCCCATCCCCTGCCCTGGTCACCATCTCCACATTCACAGAACGAGAGGCAAAGGTGGAATGGAACGCCAATGGTGAAGCCTCGGGTGTTGGTGGGTGGAACGCCGGCCGTTACCTTTGTTCGCCTCTTTCCAACGGACATACCGAGGTTTTCAGTGGACCTAAATGGGAGGATCAAGGTGTTGGGACCCACATAGTTCCCAAGACGTGAGTGTCGGGACATGACATATCTGAGCCCGGCTCGATCCAAGGAAGATCCAAGAAGTCTCGACATGCGTGTATAAGGCTTCTTTATGCTTCTGTTTGCATTCACCTGCTGGTCACTGACTGCTCTTGGTGGAGCGTCTGAAGGGAGTGATACGGAGTGATCTCCGTATCAGGGGTCTTTCAAGGCCCAAGGATAGGGGCTCAAGGGAGTTGTCAAGTTTGTCAAGCTCTTGTCAAGTTGGTGGATTGGTTTCTTGAGCCCACCGCAGACTTTCCCACTTTCATTCTTTCAAACCCCATTCTTGGCCCCCCCCAACTCAAAGGATCGCTAGAACATCCAACAGTAGATGTTCACCCAACTTGACAAGTATACTAGGTGGAGAAACAACATAAATCAACTTGAACACTTGACACAGCGGGTTTGACCATCACAGCCAGGAAGACCGTTAACTCATCCAAGGATCTGATGCCACCAGCCACCCTAAGGTACAACTGTCAAAGCGGCTTGTCGAAAGGGACAAGTCCACGGCGAGATGGTGTGGAGTCCATTCATGTGGGGACGAATCGAGATGCAGACATGTTTCTGTGGTATCTTTTCATCTGATACATATATATATATAATGATATACTATATACAATGATATATATATATATATATAATCATGGGACGGGTCATGTTTCCCTCTAGGTACTACCTTTCCTTTGTCGACCATCCCTGGCCCAATTTGAGGTCATACCGAGTCATACCTGGAGTTTCTCGATCCCCCCTGTTCCGACAAGGCGCAGCAATGCCTTTGCCTAAGATCGGAGGCCATGTTTTGGGTTTCTCCGGGGGGTGTATACGGGTCAAGAAGCACATTTGTTTGGCATCCGGAAGGGCCACATAGACTTAGACGATGCATGGGACATAGTAGTATCCTTTGGCAAGAATGAACTGGAGTACTCTGCGCAAATGGTGTTGATGGCAGAGTTTGCATCATGGTCCATGGTGTGACCCTAGATTGAGGCAACTTTGGAGCTCATGAAACTTATGCACCTTGGGAGCCAACTGCTAGGGGCCAGCTATAGTGGTGAGAAGAACTGGCTGGATTTTTGCAGGCTTCTTATTTCTTCTCAAGTCAACACAACACAACCTGGGACTTAGGTGATTTTGTGCGTTTTTAACAAACCTGCGCTCCAAACTCCTCCCTTTGAATGAGCATCCCACTTCTGGCGAACGGGGGGAGTGGAGGAATGGGGATTTCAACAAGTCAGGGTCAGGGGTTGCTTCGGGAAAGCCACGATTGAAGTTAAGTCTGCTTGAATCAAGCTGAAGTCACGTATATAACTCACTCTGGGGTTCCGAAAACCGCTCAAGAGCTATCTGTTTGCACCTGTTGACCAAATGCAGGAGGCGCACGGTGCGCATAGCCTAAAGAAAACCAAAAAACAACTGATGGACTCCACCACACTTATGATTGGGTGTACTGAACTGAATGCCCCATGCCACACGCCAGCCTAAGAAAACCAAATCCTGAAAACCAGGTGAGGGGGCCTGAGCGCCTTTAGTTAAAGGCCAAAGTTCCAAAACCACGAAGCGACGAGCCGACAGGATGACGACGCGCCGTGCATGACTGCAGCTGCATTAGCACTTTACAAAAGGAAGAATAATGGCCACCAGCTGCGGCTTACAATGCGCCCAGGTGCACCAAGCAGGTACGTTTTCCTGATCATCCAGTGTGGAGCTTCGTTGGCAGAGGCCACAACTGGAGATCCCTCCGCCCCCTGCTAAAGCAATTCAAAAGAATCCCTGTGACTACAAGGGGCACACACACACACACCATCCATCGTCCGGCCGATGTCCGGCTCCAGATTCCACGTCTGTCCCTACTGGTGGCTTTCGTTCTGAAGACGAGAGCCTCTCAGATATTTCCACGAGGTCACTGGGTTCACTGGAGTTCACATTTTTTCTCAACGATGTGGTTTTCATGGCGGGTCTTTCTACGATACACGCGGCTGGCGGGTCTTCCTTCGAGTTTTCGGAACAAAGGATTCCGAACTCGCCAGGCGGCTCTCCGGTTCAAAGTCATGCACACTTGATTCCAAATGACCACCACAGACCATCCCATCCTCAGTAAATGGGTGAACACTGGGTGAACATCGGACAAGCAAATACATCAGCTATTTCCAATACTTGCAGCAAAATATAGAACAAACTGTATACCTGGAGCTGGTTTGCAGTCCTCTCATTGAAATGGATGGCCTGAGAGTATCCTCTTAGTTTTGGTCCTCCGTGACATCTGCACCATGTGGCAAGTGGCTCATTCACCATCACTCGCCTGCCTTCTGATTCTTAGTGAAGAACTAGGGCATGAGATTGCAAGCAAATCATGTAGAATCACACGGAAATGGTAGTACATCCCCTGCAATCCAGGGATCTTGGTGTAATAGTAAGGTGTGCAATTGTTGAAACATATAATGTTTCACTCTCCGTGGAACTTGAGTGAGTCTGTGACACACACACACACACATGTATATATATATATATGTATATATTCTTTATTCTTTAATCTTTAGGCCCCTCGTTGGTGAGGTCAAGTCTGGAATATATCTGGATGCATGTGTGTGTCTGGAACATATATGTGGTCTACCTTGATTATATAGATCGAAAGTAAAGCCCACACGAAAAGGATCAAAAAGATTCAAAGGTACCAAACATCATTTCTATTCATTTCTACACCGCCTTCAGGAACCGCCTTTCGCACACGCACTTTCACCGTGTTCGGTCCGTCGAACATTCACTCTGTCTACCCGTTCTACCATCGTTGTCTACCACGGACGGACGGCGAGACGGGTCGACCGAGACGGGTCGACCGTCTGAGACCCAGGATCATCAAGTAGCGTGCGTGGTGGAAGATCAGGTCCATGCCACCTGACCGGTGCAAACCACCCGTCGAGAGCGGCCCGAGGAGCGAACAGTCCGACGGTGAGAGGTGAAAAACGTCGAAGAAGACGAAGCACCGATGAGAGCGTCAGGTGGTGAACGGAAGTAGAGAGGATTGGATTCTTTCCGCCCTCCGGCTTGCAAGTCTGCCAGTCTGCCTGTCGCTGTGGCACTGCATGTCCTTCTCTGACCCTTCACCTTCGGCTATTCTTACGTGGACCACCGGACCACCGTGCGTTCCCCGAATTTCACAAGGACTGCACTGAGATTCGGAGGTCGTCGTCGTCTCGTCTCGTCTCCAAAGCCCCGTGCCGCACGACTCGTCGTGGACCGAGCCTCGAGCCTCTCGGGGACACGTGTTCACACACAGAGTCTCTTGGACCGGAAAACCCCATGCTACTTCTTGGCGATCTCGGGGAAGCGACGATAGGGCACCCCTACTGGCCATACCTGTTTTTCTTTGCTAAAGATGCTAAAGAGAGCGACTGGTGCTCACCCACTCTCCGGGCACTGCATGAGACCCTCTCTCCGACCCAATTTTGGGTGAAGCTTGCACGGTGAAGGAAGCGCGAGGCGCGTGGTGGCCTACATGCAGTGTGCTCTCGATTTCCTGCAGGTCTTGCATGGTTTGTTGCCAAATCGAATACCTCGGTGAAGGAGCCGGTGGATGGTGCACGTTGTGCCTCTGAAGCAGGGGGTCTGGTGCAAAGGGTACATGAAGCTAAACTGAGATCGAGTTTCAGGCAAATCAAGCAGCATACAATGTGGGTCGTGTACGCGTTTGTGTACAGATACATCATCACATGCATGGACTCTTTCAACTTCTTCACCACTGACATGCATCTGAACACTTTGCTTTTTGACAGTGTCGTGATTTCGTTCGGAGCCGAGTTACAGGGTGATTTCCCCGGAGAAGCCAATGACTGCACCTCAGATCGACCCCTTCGGCAATGAGCCGAGGGTCGAGGGTATGGGAGAGTCGACGGATCATACTTCACCCGGGATACTGCACCCAGTCTATGGATCCTTATGGATGCATCCCAACACTTAGAAGGTACAGTAGCTGGTGGTGTGCAAGATGCCGTGGCTGCCTCTATGATGCAAGGAATGTCTTTCCTCTGAGTGCCCTTCTGCTCACCAACAGCCTCAGTGCACCTTCGCTCTTTGCTTTGAGGACATGTTCACTTCTTCTTAAGAAGGAATCGAGACATGTCAGAGTCACCCACCTCAGAGTTGGAATTCTGCAAGCTGTTTGGATGTCCTGATCTGACACACGAGAAAACAAAAACACACATCCAAGGACCAAGGAGCAGGTCCAAACGAATGCCAGCATCCGATAGCAGCCACAGTGAATCATCCTTAGCGTTTTCATTTGGAATGAACAAATAGCAATCCAGCAGAAGAGCGTCGGCTTTTCTTTTTCTCCTTTCAATCGCTTCATGCTGTTCTTGTCCTTTTCTTATGTTCCTTCTGTCTCCCTGGTCAGGCCGCTCTGGCTCCTGGTTGATGGGGCATGTCCTGGTGGATCCTGGTGGTGTATGGTGGTATGGCAAGCGCCCATCAATTTAAGTACACTCCGGAAAACTAACATGGTGGATTTCATGGTCTTCTTTTCGGGTCCGTTCTCCACTTCCATGTTAGTTCCAGGGAGTCTACACCTGCCAGGTGCAACAACTGGAGTTCAACCTGGGGGGAACCTCGCTTGTACCTGGTTCATTGAACTATCGCAAGTCCTTGCAAGATTTCTTCCTTTACTGGAGCTCTTAGTCAAGCCCATTCTGATACGGTCCAATGATGTTTATTTTAAGCAGCGGTGGCAGTGACAATGCTTGGCCCGCACACTCTTTTTCGCGAACAAGTTTTCATACTGACCAATGCACCTCCTGGACGTATGGAGCTCTTTTCTCCAGTCAAAGCAGTAGGAAAAGAACAATTGATGCGTCGATTGGCAAACGAACGTCAACGGCCTCTGATTTGCAGATATGGTGACTCCCCCAAACAAGCAAACATCCTCTACGCTCTACAACTCTCTACAATGGCTTTTGGTAGCGGCAATGGAAGATCTTGAAACTGTACAAACCGCCCTTGCTCGGTAGATCTTCGTCGAATGCGGTGTCGCGGTGTGGACGGGTGTCAGGGGCGTGTAGCAACCCGCGATCATTGAGTTGATGCCAATATGATCAAGCCTTAGCTGGACATTCAGGACTGGATGTGTGAAATTGTGTGAATAGTTGGAGGAGGGTTGCCAGGGAACACTCCATTCAGGCTTTCTGAGGGGACCCCGACGTGGGCAAAGTAGCTGGACACTCCACTCCACTGGGAGGTCTGAGCATCGTTTGGGTCTATCGGGTCAGTTTAGCCAGGAGTAGGCTTCCAAACGAGCAGGTTTCGGTCATGGGGAATGTTGTGAGTGCTCCACCTTCATTTCCCACTGTAAAGCTTGAATCTAAGACTGCTGAACCGTTTGGTGAACCTGCCTGGTGAACCTACACTCTTGACTCCTGCTGAATAAAACCGCCCATACTTCCATCAGTCATGACCCATAGATGACCCATGCGGAGTCTACATGACCCGAACTCCGAACCGCCAACGTACCGAACTGACCCATACGGAAGGAACGAGTGGAGAACGCATCTCAGCCACATGAGGAGGAATCGTTGATTCCGCTCGTCCCAGGCCTCGTGCTCGGCCCGAACGATGGAGACGGGTCGGAGACGGGTCAGAGACGGGTCGGAGACGTCTGGGGAGTCAAAGGCACCGGCACGGGACACCGGGGATCCCGAGAGGTCTGGTTTTCAACAAAATGCAGATGAAGTCGAATGGTACAAACATGTTGCATGTCACATCATGTCACAACACCTCCATTCATTGATTGCTGGGGAGGAAAGGTGGATGCAGCGGAGGACCAGCCATGGACCGCGGTTTCCCAACTGTTTCCGAATCATTTGGGCCGGGCTCGGTGTCGGATCGTCAAGCGAGGGTACTGGTGAACACGGTACTGGTACTGGAAGACGAAGTGAGACGATGCGCGACTGCATAGTTTCTTTTTGAGTGTCCAAATGGTTGAAGTGGAAAGGAAGGGGAAAACAGAGAAGCCGTGGTTTTGAATCCTGGACATCTCCAAAGAACCCACTGATCTTGGGAGGTTTCCTCCTGCGATCATGACATGACGTGGCCAGGGGCTCTTCGGCAAACCCCCGCAAACAGGGTGTCTGCAGTCCACGTTTTGCGCGCAGGTCCTCTGGGTGGTTGAGGTGAGAAGCGACCGCCAGCCTTCTTTCATCGAGCTGGACAACGGGTTCTTTAAGCCAGCTTCTCTTGCATATAACTTTGTATAGATTCCATGAGTAAACCTTGAATCACAGATTGCAGGAAACTCTCACGTGGGATGATTCGCTCAAGCGTCCAATCATAACTTCCTATACTGCCCAAAGCGATACACACTTTCTAGAGGTGACCCTGCAAACTTTGTCACACCTTACTTTTCATTGTAACCGCCTTGGTATATAAATATATATATATACACTGTATATATATATATAATAGACCTGCTTGGCCAACACACATATGGGTGTGGTATGTAATAGGGAGACCTCCAACCAAGGGGTAGACTGGTCATGACAGGTCTATTTCCCTATCCTAATGCACACCCATATGGGCGCTCTGGGAGGACAGCCCAATCTTGTGTGAAGCTGGATGAACACGTTATGACTCCAAAGACGTCTGAATACAAGACATATCAAGACAATGGGCCAAGGAACCTGAACCCTCAGTGTCCCTGGAAAATATCGGGCAACCTTTTCCCACCTGTTCTAGACCAATCCCCCAAAAGGTTGTATACAAAGTTTCTCCACGAGCCCTTTCAAAACCGCTGGTCCAAAATCTGGCGAAGATGGCGTTTTACTATCCACTGCCTACATCTGCCGGAACTCTCTGTCGCACCGGTCTGGCGGGTCTCCCGGTCTCCTGGTCACGGTCGGTAGACGAGGGGCCCAGTAGTGGAAGAGTGCGGAGCAGGTGAACATCAGGATCATGCCTCACTCCGTCTCCACGTTCTTCAGCTCAAGTGACCCGGGCAGGGCAGCACGGGGCTTTTCACCCGATACGGTGGGGGCTCGATACCCCGGCGACCGCACTCTGCGAGCTGAAGGGTACTTTTTGAGCTCGGTGCTTCGGCCGCTTTTTGGTTTCAGAAAACAAGTTCACCAAATGCCGACCATCCTGAGAACTGGTCTTATCCTGAGAGGGAATAGTCCTGACCATCCGAACTTCAAGGTTATTGGAACACAGGTCCTTGAATGAACTTGATTGACGGATGCTCTCAACCTTCAATAGGAACTGGATGGAACTAAATTGATTAGTCTCTGTTTTTCCAAAAACCAAGACTGCTTTCAGCCTCACCACGAAGTTTGGCAGAAAAAAACACCGGGCTATGAAACACCTGGCGGCGTGCCCTCAACAAATATTGATCCATTTATTGAATCACCTTATTAGTGATTTTCACATCCGAAATATAGAAATGGATAGACATGGTAGGAATCATGGCACGAACCGTCCGGAACATCGGGTTTTCCGGAAAAGCGACCGGATGCCAGGGAACAAAAGGCATGGATCCAAAGCCCAAGCTGCTTGACCTGAAATGCACAAAAATGGAGGAAGTGCTGTGGAGGAAGTGCTGTAGATCTAGGGATTTCGGGATATGTGGTGCCAACTAGTCGTGGGATTCTCTCAGGGTTCTGCTGGCAGAGGCGGTTTCGTCCTCTCAACAATTGGAATCCCTTTCCTGTGGGAAAGCCTTCCTCCGAAAGAGACAAAGAGTTTCAAGGAATGACCCAGGACCTGCTGCCCATATCTACTACCCTATGGATCCGCACATGCTCTTTTGAGGGTGATTGGAGACACTTGATGTAGGCGCCAGGAGGGTTCAGTCATATCTTCTGAGGGTCCGGTGTGTGGATCCGGGCCAGAAGGTACCACGTTCACGAAGGACCTAGGGATCCACACTTGGACGGTACCAAGATGTACCAAGCGCCTTCTGAACAACATACCTCCTCAAGCGTTTCGGTGCAACCTTCGCCGTTTTCAAGTCGCCCTTCATGCTCCAAGGGACGCCAGGATCGCCGCCTGCGCAGGCGCTTGCTTTGGGGGTTGGGGATGGTTCGGGTTCGAGGTCGGGTGCTTCGGCTGCTCCGGAGCAGCTCCGTCCCAGCTCCACCCGCCCCGATTGGGATCCGAGTTCGGACCTGACCCCTGGAGGCAAGGCGGATGAGAGCCTGGTGTGCTGAGCGAACACCACGCGTCACAGGAGACCGAGGTCATCGGCAGAATTGAGTTGTAGAGTTTGGGGTCTCTAGATAGGTTTTGAACAAACCGAGCAACCAATTGGTCGAACGGAGTGGACATGCACCTTCAATATCCAGACCAGAAGGGCCTTTGCACCTAAGTAGTAGAGTCATATCATTCTCATCGCTGGGTAGTTACCTCACCCATGCTAAAAATATTGCTTTTTCATACTTTTCATGGCCTTTCCAATCATGGACTGAGGTTGAGGCTCACAGCTGACAAAGCCACAAGGAAGATGGGCCCAATGTTTACATAGGACGGCATCTTAACACAAGTAAGTAAGAGTGATCTCTGCGAGGATCTTGGTCTCGGCATCTTGACCCGTCTCGTGCGTTTGACCGGGTCCATGGTCCGCCTGTGCGAGAGCGTAGCGCAAGGATCGGCGCAGCCAACAAAGCGAGCCCGACGCCTGCGAGAACTCGCAGCGCAAGGATCGTCGCGTCTTCGCGGCGCAAAGGCGAGGTCCGTCCCTCATCGGTGGACTGAAACATGGCTGACAGTCGTGATATGTCTATTAGTCCTCATACGTCATATATGGTTGTATGGACATCATCGGTCACTGAACTGGTATGATTTAGGATTATACTTCACCCCCCATATCACGAGGTTTTACAATTCATGTCCAGGGGGTGATAAATCAAGAGTCTGCATGATACCGACGGACTGACTCCGTTTCGGTCCGGATCAACACAAAAAAAGAGAGAGTTCGATCCAGGTTGATCCATCCAAGAAGCTGTGTTGCTGAGAACTGATATGCATATATAGGGAATGACAAAAAACCATTGATCGACATGCTTTGCAGTATGGCAAGCCCTATTGACACCGGAAATGGCGAGTTATCCACCCCCACTGGGAATGTGTGAGCTGCGATATCCGTCATCTGCAGTACTAATCTGTTGAGTTAACCAGAACAAACAGGACCAGGAACAAACATGTCTGTACATCAGGCCTTCTCCCGAACTTCAAACGATTGCTCTTCCTTGGTGATAGATGCAAACCGTTTGCTGCAAACCATATCAAACCATTCGATTCAGTGAGCCCGGATCAAACAAAACTTGTTTAGCCTAGAAGCTCAGTGGAAACAGGCCTGGGTTGAGGCAATTCCCCGCTTCAGCTTCCCTTCGCAAACCGCCCGACAACGCCCCACAGCTAGTTTGGGGCAGCTCTTGTATACCTCTGGAGACAGGTCAACCTAACACCTCCTCAGCTCAGTGTTGGGAGACATCGTCGTTGCTTTTTAGAAATCCAACCCAGACCTCCAAGCGACATTAGCAATTAGTAGCAGTCCGACATGTTTGGCTAATCGGCATGACAGTGATGTAAGGTGCCAAACGATCCTGCAACCTATCGAATAGTCAGTTCTAGTCATCTTTCTACAGCTTGGTCCACATCTTGGTGACTTCGCGACTCCCATTTGGGGGTCACATGTTCACGGCAAAACAACATGTGAACAGCAGGTGTGAACACCCAAACAGCGGATCAGATCGGATCCTCCGCCGATTCGGAAGGGCATCGGACTCTGCCTCCAAAGTTCACCAGGCGATCCGCGATCAGCTCCCGGCGGGAGTATTCGCGGGCCGGAGGCTGGTACCACCTGGTGCGGGAGTATGGGAGGCGACTTCGGAACGAGGAACTCGTTGATGGGGTTGAGTAACGATCACCAACTCTATCGCTCAACAAGTGGGCTGTGTCCCTTGCGGTGCTCCCAAGGAGGGGGGAAAGGAGGTCGCTTCCTGACCTCAATTCCAAATGGGACGAAGAAACACGAGAAATCTATCACATTCCTTCACTGAAGGTAACATGAAACGAGAAGGTTTCATCAAACTTAACAGTGATTTCTGGATGCTTGGACAAATTGTCAACATATGTGACATGATGTAACATGTACCCGGTCCAAAATCGCCAAGTAAGCAAGAGCACCCATGCCTAGTCAAAGGTCAAATGCATCCTCTTGGGGCCAAGTTTTTCTTTTCGCTTACTACTTAATGGGAGCACTCAGGGCTGTTGGACCCCAAAAAACCTACAAATGGGTGTAACAACGCGCTAATTAGACCTGATGAGGCCCAATTATATAAGTCACAAAAAACCAGCCAAACCCCCTTGGTTGTTTGGATGTTCTTTGCTTGGTGAACCTCTTCGATGTCTGCATCAGCGCCCAGTTTTCAAACAACGGATCCTTTTAACCACCCGACGTCGGCCGTGACCTGCATCGTGACGGAGACCGAATTCTTTTGCATGACTTTGCTTCATCAGTTGGTTGCTATTCTAGTTTGTTGCAGCCAAGTCTGTCAAATCACGTAATATCAACTCCTCTTGATTGGAACTGAACCGAAATCACCTCTTCAAAAGAGTTCGACAAACACATTTAAGGTTTCTTGATGGTTTTTGATTCAATCTACACTATCTACACTGCTTTAGTCTTGCCTTCCCACTCTTTCCTTACTTTCCACTCTTTCCCAAAAACCGAAACACCCTCCACCTCGAACAACACCGGATGGATCCGCCTGATGGTCTCGTAAATCGATTCTCCGCCAAAAATCGATGGAGCGCTGGGAGTCTCATGAGTCCTCAGGCTGTGTCGTGCGTCGCGGCACGATGCGGAGCGACATTGGACGCGGAAGCGTCGATGATGGAAGCAGCGGTGTGTGGAGAATACAATGCACATCCAAACATGTGTACAGACATCAGACATATATATATATATATCCACTGCTTCCAGCAGTAGTTCCTTTGATATAAAGTCTGAATGCCACATACATAAAACAATATTTGTCAGTTCTATTTTCTCATATTTTCAGAAACGCGTAGATTTTTTAAACACAAACATTAAGCAGTATAATATTTACTGTATAATATATATATATACACAGTTTTGTAAACTACAAATGACATATTCAACAACAATACTAATACAATACGAGAGGTATAACATAGAACAGTTGCAAAATACAATGGGAATGTCCACATATAAAAGTCTATTTATGCAATGTTTTTTGTTTCCATAATACAACTAGACTTCATACAAATACTTCAAAAGTTCCCAACTTCAAAAAGTACATATAAACAAACAGGTCATATTCCGTATTCCTAATTATCTTCAACAAGGCGCGCATTACAACTTTCAAATCACCAGCAAGCATGACTCTTTCATCTGCTGCGTGCTGGCTTTAGATGGAGGCGAGAAAATGGGGCGTGCAATTTGCAGCCTCCAGGTCCAAAGAAAACAGCGATTCTCATTGAGGCATGGTGATGTTTTAGGGTAGATGCTTTAGGCAGGAGTTCCACAGTTGCAAAGTTGTTATGTTGAAGAACTCAACTCCATCTAGGTGAGATGAGCATGAAACACGATCCGGTGCATGGCACTGTGTAGAGTTGCAGCCTTCCACGTTCACCTTCGGACTCAAACCAAGCTCAGAGGTGTCCAGCCAATGTCACTGGCCTTCGTGACCTTTTCTTCTTGGAAGAAGAGACCCTTGACTAGCTTCACCGGCTGCAGCCGTTTGGCCAAGAGCGCCGGACGGATGGGAAAGTTTGAAGCCGGTCCGGAGAGTCCAACGCGGCATTCGATGGATTCACCGTAACACACCAAGCTCCACATGCTCCACCCAGTCCCCGATGAGTCGATATTAGTCGATTCTTGTCAAAGACCCCATTCTGGAAGAGCACTCCTGCAGATAATGCTTGCAACCCACTTGGTGAAGAGCAGTCATGTCCACCTCCGTGGCAAACATTCTTTTGTTGTGCCACAGCATTCCCGCAGTAAAGCCTGAAGTTGGGCTATAGAAATATGCCGCCCCCCACCCCAAAGACAGATTCTTTTTTTGGGGGGACACCCTACTTCTACTAGATATATATAAGTTTATAGATTAGAGAGAACCTCATCCTTCCATCTTTTCAACTCTCTCCCTCTCCAGCTATCATGACTTCTCTGCGAGTGAAGCGTCGCTTGACGTCTGGACCTGAGTTGCGGCGCGGAGCGCGGTGCTCCGCGGTGCTCGGGGGACTTGAGATGACTTGAGGACCTCGCAACTGATTGATGACTTGACCTTTTACAGATGAGTGTTCTACCAGCCACACTATCAAGTTTCCAGCTGGATGAACCTGGTTGACAATGAACCTGGTTGTTCTGAGAAATCCCTTCGAGACCCAGAATGTTTTCTATCCCTTTAACTGGAAAGAGGTTTTTGATCCGGATGCCCACTGGGCAACTCACTTGTGAAAAAAAAGAAACCCAATGAGTTACATAGCCCTTGGCAAATCATGGGATTCCCCGACTTTTGAGACAAGATCAAATAGATAAGAACTAACTGATGCAACCTGTGAATGAGAGTGGCTCGAATTGTGTTTATCATCAATCTATAGTTGACTTCTGGTTGATGTATGATATGTACGTGTCATTTTTTTTGTACTCTCAGCACGAAAAAAGATAACTTTTTTCACCATGAGCCAGTTTACATCTCTCGGCCTTCTTTAGCAGCCTCGTCGTACGTATTTTTTCGGTGGGTTGGATGCTGCACACCCCCATCCCAAGGACCGAAAAGCAGCCAACTGTCACATATACATCTATAATCGGCTCGTCTTGTTCCTAGTAGCTTCTTGTTACTACTAGTAAGGCACCTGTTACTACTAGCGTGGCACTTGTTTCTAATAGCGTCTTGTTCCTATATCAAAATTAGGGAGACCTCCGAAAGAACCTGGAAGAAGCGTCGACTACATGAAACTGCAAAGGCCCAAAAGCCAGTGGTTGGGTGTCTCCCTATTAACACACTTGGATTGATTTCTCACCCCATAATACATATATATGATATTATATGATTATAATTGATTACATAATATATATGAATATATACAGTATTCTTTTGGTTTCTGACCACCCCCAAAAGACACGGGTCTTTCATCTCCACCGTCAACCCACCGTCCCGACACGAAGAACGGTCGACCGACGGCCACGAACGGCCGACCGTTGGACGCCATGCGGTCGAAAAGACGGTTCCCCGACGGATGAGATGCCGGGAGGCGCGAAGCCGTCCACAAAAACCTGGCGAAGGCGAAGGCTCTGCGAAGGGGGAAGGAAAAGCAGGTGGAAATGAGAGTGGTCGCACTGCGAGGTTGGAACTGAAGAGGAGTGATCATGTTTTTTTAAAATATTTTTCCCGAAAGCGTTGCGAAGGGTTCTTCCGGAAAATCCCTTGAACACTGACACTTCGACACTTACACTTACACACTGACACTTCCACTTGCACTACAACATGAACGCTATACGTACCCCAGTGTAAGTGGAAGAGCGAAAGCATCCAAGTGCAAAGTATGCAAGTGTCAAAGTATGCAAGTGTAATGATGCAAGTGCGATGATGAGTATGGAAAACTAGCACGAGAGATGTTCTAATGATGAGCATGGAAAAGAGATGAAAAGAGCATGGAAAACTAGCGCGGGAGATGTCCTAATGAAAAACATTTCCCCACTTTATTATAAATTCTCTCTTAAAGGCGGAGGGTGGGACGAACAGCGTCAACCGAAAGTGCAACCCTCTGCGGAGATCGTGCGTGTCGAGTGCGCGAAATGCAGGCGAGAGTGCGATTTGCCGGCTGCGCGCGCAACCCTCTGCGGAGATCGTGCAAGTCGAGTGCGCGAAATGCAGGCGAGAGTGCGATTCGTCCCATGTGCGCGCGACCCTCTGCGGAGATCGTGCGCGTCGAGTGCGCGAAATGCAGGCGAGAGCGCGATTCGTCCGGTGTGCGCGCGACCCTCTGCGGAGATCGTGCGTGTCGAGTGCGCGAAATGCAGGCGAGAGTGCGATTTGCCGGCTGCGCGCGCGACCCTCTGCGGAGATCGTGCGTGTCGAGTGCGCGAAATGCAGGCGAGAGTGCGATTCGTCCCATGTGCGCGCAACCCTCTGCGGAGATCGTGCGTGTCGAGTGCGCGAAATGCTGGCGAGAGTGCGATGTGCCGGCTGCGCGCGCAACCCTCTGCGGAGATCGTGCGTGTCGAGTGCGCGAAATGCTGGCGAGAGTGCGATCGAGTCTGTGCGCGCGCAACCCTCTGCGGAGATCGGGCGTGTCGAGCGCGCGAAAGGCAGGCGAGAGGTGTACTCTGAAAACTTTAGTACGCGGAGTAGCCGGGGAGCTGGAAGATGAGAACTGGCGACTGGGTAGTACAACGTTAGTACGCGGAGTAGCTGGGGAGTGGGAAGATGAGAACTGGCGACTTTGTCAACCTTAGTACGCGGAGTGTCTGGCGAGTTGGAAGATGAGAACTGGTGACTTTGTAGTGCAACTTTAGTACGCGGACTAGCTGGGGAGCTGGAAGATGAGAACTGGCGACTTTGTAGTGCAACCGTAGTACGCGGAGTAGCTGGCGAGCTGGAAGCTGAGAACTGGCGACTTTGTAGTGCAACTTTAGTGCGCGGAGGAATCTGTGGAGCTGGAAGCAGCTGTGGAGCTGGAAGCTGAGAACTGGCGAGTTTCTAGTACAACTTTAGTACGCGGAGCAATCTGTGGAGCTGGAAGCTGAGAACTGGCGACTTTGTAGTACAACTTTAGTACGCGGAGTAGCTGGGGAGCTGGAAGATGAGAACTGGCGACTTGGTAGTACAACTTTAGTACGCGGAGTAGCTGGGGAGTGGGAAGATGAGAACTGGCGACTACAACTTGAGTCCGCGGAGTGTCTGGCGAGTTGGAAGATGAGAACTGGTGACTTTGTAGCTGGGTAGATGAGAACTGGCGACGTGGTAGTACAACTTTAGTACGCGGAGTATCTGGGGCGTGGGAAGATGAGAACTGGTGACTTGGTAGTACAATGACTTGGTAGTACACACTACCTCAACTCACTCGACTTCACACTTCACACTGCACACTTAACAGATAACTCGCACTCTGACTTCCTACGTAATGAAAAATGCTTTCGGGCCACTCGTCGTCTAGTTTTTCCTTGAGAGTGGTTGTAGATGAAGAGAGTGGATCTGTTGGTCTTGAGAGTGGATCTGTTGGGGGGGCCAAAGGATCTGTTCTTGAGAGTGGTTGTGCCACAAAAGGAATCACATCATGGCATATCATGGTCCTTTCTCCAGTGGCATGAATTCATGTTGTGCTTCGTCACAACGACCTCCGGCTTGCAATGACATGATGCTACCTCCTTGGGAACCTGGGGATGTTCCTGGTTGGCTGGGTGAACTTGTAGATTGTTGCAAGGTCTACCCCAAAAAGTGCATCTCAACATGTCGAAGCCCTGCCCGCAGAAGCGCACATGACAACCACCTTCTGCCTTAGGTTCAAGCACCTACCGTAGGTCACCTACCTTCATGTTGCGTCTTCTCTATTTCCTTTGCCCATCAAACAAATGATTTTTTTGAGACAGCATTGGATCTCCTACCAAAACGGCTTGGACGCTGTTTCCGTCACATCTGACCAGGCAGTTGATGGTTGATGAACAAGACCAGTACCCAACATCCTCACGGTCCTCACCCACTAGACCCGATTCCATAGAGTTTGATCCGAATCCTGAACGAATCATCAGACTGATCCAACTTATCATCGGACTTCTCCATCTACGAACGGTGTTTGGGTTTGCGTCGAGAAAAAATCCGCTGCTTCCCTTGGTTATAGAGAATTCAACAGCCAATCATCATGTTGTTGGTCATCCCCTTCTCCTCTAAATCCCTTTCTTTGGCAAGAGGCCTTCCAGCAAAAATCCTCGCGTCACTTGTTGTAAGATGTTGTAAGTACCCAAGTCACTTGGTGCCACCAAGGAGCTCGTCCGACACCCCTCTCTGCGAGCCAGGCGCCGACGAGCCTGAACGGACGGTGCACGTGGTGCATCGACCTGGAAAGCAAAACACGTCCTCCGCCTAGGGGGGTAGTCTAGGTGAAGCTAACCCTATCATGGGACTTCTGTATGTTACTTTTTTTTCAATTTGTAGGTATATAATCGTTGCTTTGGAATGCTTTGATCAACTGGCACACTCATTCGTTTTGTTCCTTCCAAACAAGGGCATCCCTGTCCGGTATCCCAAAGAAAACACAGTGTCCAATCCGGCACCTGTGGCTACTCGTGCAGCGACCCGACCAGCTTTCCCTTGGTCTTTTTGAGGGCCATCGAAAACAATGGCCCCACAGCCTTGTTGAAAACACACTAAGAAAAGCCATCATTTTGGTCCAAACTCACCCAAACGCCACCGTACCTTTTGTTATCCTTTGCCGGCTCCAGGGGGGCTCCTCATACGAGTACGCACTTCAACCCGCTGTGTTGGATGGCCAAAGCAACGACTCCAGGGCCCCGGACACAAAAAGAAGGGCTGCATGACGGGACCTGCCGGTCTTTTCTGATCAAAGCGAGGGAGTTCTGGATGAAGACATGACGTATTGAGATGTATTTAGAACATCCCACTAAACTGAGCTTGATTTTAGATGATTTTGGAACCTAGACCTACACCAACCAGGTCCTCATCTACAGTACAATGGTTGATTGGGGGAGGTCCACGACTCCAGCACCCTTTTGCTGAAGGGAAAGGAGCTTTCACCAAACAGGTCTGGGCCTCGTTCATTCCTTTTGATGTGCGAGGCCCAATCGGACATCATCGGCTCGACTCGTCCAGTCTCCGGCCTGCTTCGATGCACCTCGGAGGAAGCTGTCGAGAGCGATCCATTACATGCTTATGCGTGGACTCAGCAGGTTGCACTCTGCGAACCAAATGGATTTGGGGGAGATGTCCTGGGCATGATCACCGATGTCTGCAAGCCGGAAGTTTGGACTGTTGGCTCAGCTTTTATTTTTTCAGGTTTTAAACAAGGTGGGCTGGCTCAAACATGAATTATTGAAACCATCCTGGCAAAACTGATGATTGGGGGTGGCCATCTTTTGGACAAATCTCTACAGCTACGGCTATGGTCTATGTCTATGTACATCCAGCCCAGCTTCAGACACTCTTCCGGAGAAGGACAGCGCAATACAAACCCACTTCATCTCATTGCCCAGAAGGTGCAGCAACAACAAGAATACCCGACACTGATGTCAAACTGTCTGTAGCTTGTTTTTCTGCAGCAAAGGCACCTGACGTGGGGCAGTGTGAGTCATTGCGAAGCGGAGGCGCTTTGCGCAGCCGAAAATGATGCTTTGGGCAGCAAGGAAGACCAACTCGTCAACGGATTCTGTTCAGATGAGAACTCTCGTAGCTATGAAAAGTAATTAATCCTCAGAACATCAGGCCTTTGAAACCAGCTCTTTGAGAAAGAAAGCCATGAATCTATGAAACTGAGGAAAACAGCTGCGGCCCAAAGCTCCTCCTTGGCTTCGCGCTTTGCTGTCCACGGTGTCTACAGCTTTCCCGCAATTCTAATGTCTTGGATGGGCCTGGTGACAGTAGATGACAGTACATTAGATTCGAGTATAGATGAATCGAGAGTCCAATACACCGGTCTTTATATGAAAAAACAACATCGGTCTGGGTCGGCCACCCTCAGGGGTCCGTCTAGCCAAAGATCCATCTTGTCCATTCATCTAATTCAGATTCCAAGATATTCCAATGGTGCTCCTGCCACTCAAACATGCTGAAGTCTTTCTCACTGGGAAGCAAACAAAGTGAACCCCCGGAAAGCTTTGCGATGCCATGCCAAATGCCTTCGTGGTTGATTGCCGCCTTCAATGTATGATGAGGACATGATGAGGAGTGTTGCCTCGTTCAAGTGCACAACGCCCACTTCAATCGCTTCTGTTTGTGGATCATAGGCTGCTAGTGCTATCTAACCTCTGAAACCCCCTAGGCCCTAGGTGCTTCTTTCTTTTCATTGATCCTTCGTCGTCCCATCTTCGCGCATCCTCCATGCCTCGCAACACCAACTCTTGGTCATCCTCCAGGCGATCCCAAAAGGGCTAGGTGTCCGCCAGGCCCAGACCATCCAGGCACCTTCAAGTATTTTTGCAAGACACTTCACTCTAGTCCCTCTGGTCTTTGGGTGACCAAGGATCTTATGTGAGTGATCTACCCTTCATAAGCAAATGCATCAAAATGGCACCTGGTGGGGCCTTGTTGTGCTTTGAAGCAACAAAGACTGGTTGAGTGGAGTCTGGGAAACTGCCATCTTCTGGATATACTGTTCAATCACATCCCTCCATATGAGATGCTCGAGAACATTTGTTCCCTTAGGATTTCTCTTGATGGTCGGTTCGGACACCTGTAGAAAACCGTCCCTCTTGGCGAGCCCCGGATTTTTCTGAACATTTCTGTTGGTAGCAGGAATTGGGCAGCAGAAACATCCACACAACAGCTTTGGACAACAACAGCCCCTGGGCGATCGATTTTTATGGCCTGCCCGGCCACCAAAATATCAGACACCCCTAGTATCAATGAAAACTCCAAAGCACAGAACCCCAAACTGCCACAACATCCTCTTGAACCCAACATGATGTTTCCAACATCTTGCCTCCAATCTAGTCCAACCCTCACGGAGTCATCCGTCGGTCCGTCCTGCCGTTTGTTCCAGGGGCGGCGGCCCCTGAGGCGGTTGACGTCACGCCGCGGGATCATTTTCATAGGGAGAACCCCCTGGCGCCTCGGAGGTTTGGTAGATTGGGTGGTCGTTGCCTGGGAGGTGGTTGCTTGGTCGTTGACATTCGTTGACACACCTCCTGGACCATCCAATGGATGTCCGGAGATCCCGTTAGGACAAGTCTTGAATAGTCCTTGGGCGTGAGCATCTGGTAGCATCTGTCATTAATTTGTTCAAGTTAGCATCGGTCGGTCAAGGTGTCCATCAGGTGCCTGGCAGGTACTTCCAAGCCTTTGGAAGGAGGGCTATGAACCATTCTAAGTCGAAGTCTTATGCCTACGAGCGTTCTTGGGGTTGTTGGTTTGCTCTCGAACCTGGTCAATGTATGTCCATGTAAAGATAATAAGACTTGCACAGCAGGTCCCAGAACGACTCCGACCTCTTGGGTAGGAAAAGAAGTAACTCTGGCATTCTTGGTGGACATCCCCGATTACATAACGCTGGTCAACTCCTTGAAAAAGATAGGAGAACAGGGGGACATCTCCCAAGACCCTGGTTTGGGGCCTTTGTTCTGACCAAACAGCAAATCAAAGAAAAAACACAACAGGGACACAAAAAAACCTTCCGAATAAGAAGGCGTGCACTTGGCTTCCAGGTGATGTAACCGACTATTTACGGTGGAGAACGAACGTCGCCCGGAGCCATTTCGTTCCTGTGAAGCCTCCTTCCCTGAAGAAGGCGACGGTTGGTCGTGTGTTGATTTTCACCAAAGGCTATAGAAGTTCCATAGTGTTTTGAATTCCGACAGTATCACCATTGTATCACCGGAAATGGGATGTTCTCGTGTCTCTTTCAAGCTTCCACCTCTTTCCATCCATTGAATGGTCCGGTCCTGGCCCCAGTCCAACCCAGCTGTGTCCCGTCGAACGTCGACAAAACGTCACACAGCGCCTGGCACCCAGAAGGGTCACTGACAAGCTGTAGACCCGACTGGCCTGACGCGAAACAACAAGGGACCGGCCTATGTAGAGGATCGTTGTGGATGGTTTCAGCAGCAATCTTCCCATGTTTTTTCTTATTTTTGGGGTTGCGAAACAAGAAGTGACTCATCTGAACTCCTTTTTTTGTCATTGATTATCTTTTTTGACAGCTTCTTTGTTGAGAACGCAGAACGCACACTTATAGAATCTCATAGACATACACGTCAAAAGCATACTTTTACTACATTTGCATGCAACAATCTTCCTCAGGAGCTTATTGTGATTACCACGTCACGACATCTATTTGGTTCCATAGTGAAGAGAGCGGCCTTGCCACCCATCAAGCCTACCATACATGTCTCAAAGATTCTCAAAGTAGATAGGCCGAGCAAATCCGAGCCATTCGATCCAGCTTCTTCAGCCCTTCCCCATTAGTCGACCTCCATTTTGGCAGAAGACCCACCCACATCTCCCCAATCTCACTGGTACATTAGCACCACTGGCTTAGATTGTCCAGGAGCCTGAGAAAGGATCTCCAAGTTCGCGCATTCGTGCGAGAACATCAGGCATACCATTCACCCTTCAGCACCCGTCAGCACGGGGCCTCCCCTCGCCCACCCTCTGGGCTCCCCTCGCTGCTGCAGTGGGGTGGGAGGTGACCACCGCCCGTGCACGGCCTGCCTCCAGCAGATGCGGAGCCGTGCCGGAGCCATTCGGCCGGAGCCGTGGCATGGCGTTGCACAACACCTCTGTACTGCTGTCTAGTGACTTAGGCAAATGCTTCTAGTCAGTATAATATGGTTGTGTAAAAACGGGAGACCCTTGAGACCCTTGAGACCCGACAGGTTCGGACCATCGACCAGTCGACCAGTCTATCTGGGCCAGAGTCTTGTCTGCCTATGAAAGTACTACACACCTGTATGGATCCTCACTGAGCTACATATATCCAGGCCAGGATCCATCCTGGGAGAGGCGCGAGGATCCCATCACAAGACTCTCCCAGGTTGTCGATGCGATTCTCTGATTCGGGTAGGTAGGATGACCGAACAAAGAGAGACCGACAGACTTGCACAGTGATGGGGTGACCTACTTAGCTTAAAGGGGCTTGCAGTGTGGAGGACCAGCTCAAGTTAAAGGATCTCAAGCATCTCAAGTTAGGGCTTTCAGGCTTTCAAGTTAACTTTCAAAGGAGCTTTCAAACGGGCCTTTCATATCTTTCATCCTTTCAGGCTTTCAACATCTATCATAGATAGTCTTTTTCAGGTGCATCTATATGTCTTTCCATTTCGCCGCTCAATCATGCCGAGGGGCTTTAAGGAGATGCACGCAGACAAAGCTGCAAACCCCGAGAAATGCCGAATTGAGCGAATAGACGGTGCAAAGTGGGAGAACATGGGATAAAGATCAACGTGCAATCGATGGGCAAAAAGTACATGACTTCTGGATGTCCATTGGACACCCGGAAACGGACGATCCTGGAAGAACTGTTTGAGAGCCCACCAATCCGCCGGGGTAGGAAGCAACGGTACTGCTACACATGCATTCTGAAGCTGGTTTTGGATGGTTCTCCAATGGATGCCTCTCAATGTGGGATCAACCGGCTTTTTGATCTTCGACCTGGGCACCCGACCTCGTTCCCAAGACTTGACTCATTTTCTCTGTGGGATCATTACTATGGACTATGGCTATTTATGCCAACCCGGCCCCCCGGTTCAGGCCCTTCGTCCCAAAAGCCCCCACCCTCTGAGACATCTGAAAGCTTCCGATAAAGACCTGGGGACGTCTGAGTGAACGAGCCCGTGTTGAGCTAGACGTACGGGTGACCGAACGACGCGTTTTCTTTCGTTTGCCAACCAAGTGGACTTTTAGGCTGTGAAGCATTCGAGTGTGAGTGTGAGGTGTGAGATTTAACATCAAAAGGATTCATCATCGTTTCTGAACCATTTCTGGGTGAAAAAGTAGCGGGCCAAGAAGGACTATTCACATTCATGCTGACTGAACAACCAAGAACCTGTTGCTTGGGTGCATCTGTGCTTCGTTGTGGCTGCGACTTCAACAGCATGATCCCACATCATATATCATTTTATTCCTCCGCTCTTTTGGAGATCTCTCCATCCACATGGATTCTCGAGCTGCTTGGGGTGCAGTAGCGTATCAATAATCTCTTGGCACCACCATGAACTTCAAGTCTTCAAATCTCTTCAACACATCCGAGTCTTTCATGTCCAACAGAAGTGATGGGTCATGGCACCCACGTAAAACCGCCCGATGGTCGTCCGCCGCGAACGACCTGGTGTCAGAGGTGAATCGGCAGGTCGGAGTCCGGATGCCTTTGGTAATGCTAAAGGGCATCTTTCATACAAACTAAACAGGAATGCCAATACTCATACTAAAGTACATCAGAATCAGACTCATACTAAACTCATTTTCATACTCACAATCTGATTCTGTCCTGGGCTGCCCGGCGCCCACCCGAGGTGGCTTGTAGTCGATCGGTGTCTCCCGCCCTGTGGTGACGAAACAAACCACTTCGAGGTACACACCACATCGATCTTGGACAAACTACAAGGGGTGGTTCCGGTGGAAGCACCACATCACCTTTGGGCTGCGGCTGAAAAAAGAAACAAGCTTCAAGCATCGCCCAGAATTAAGCCTTTGGCCGGTCATGGCACCTAGCAACCCCCATGAATATCCAACAAATGAACAGCAATATGTGGGCGCTATTCATTTTTGACCCACACTAAACAAGTGGACCTCGACTTCACAGTCACACCTTCAGGCAAACCCCCAAAAACAAGGACCCTCCAGCGAATAAGACCACAGGAAATGATCACAACTCTTAATGAACAAATCGAGCCGTCACGGGGTAGGTCGCCCCCAGCTGCTTTCGGCCCGAGCTCACATGAGCCCTGGCCAAACATAGTCATCTGGCCACATGGAGGGCGTGGTTTTAATGCTTTCTGTGGGATCTGGGGCTACTCAGTTAGCCTCCAGTTACCTGGTTAGACTCTGGCTGCGTGAGAATCATGAGAACAAATGAAGGTAACATCAATACGAATCGATTCCCTCAGATTCGTCCCCCCCACAGGGCATACCAAGGAAGCAGGAAGAGACACTGCTGAAATCAATTAGTCTTGCCAGTGACAGGGGCACCTGTGTTCATAGTTGCTTTTGATTCGCTCATTCATCGCACGTCTGCTTCTAAAGGCTTGTCCAATGCGGTCTGAACAGCTTAGCTGCTTCCAAAGGGTTTCCGCCGTTGGACTTCCAAGCAATCTACATTCTTTCACCGCGTGGTTGATTTAATCAACAACTCCTTTCTTCGCTCAAATTGCGGGTGTGGGTCAAAACCTTGGCTCTCCAAGTGGACGCACATCGTGCTTCGTTTGGGCGTCTCAAACTGATCACCAACTTGCCCTTGCCTCGCAATCTGAACACCAGCTGTCCAAGTGAAATGGTTGGGAACCCACACCCGAAGGTGCCCTACGTTCAGGCACAAAACGGCTGGCCGCCGTTACAGCGACCAAAGCTGTTGTTTGTGCCAACACCCCCAATAGCGGTCCCATAGACTTCAAGCATTTCTTCAACATCATGCTTTACTTCCTCGAGTGTGCACTTATGAAGTTGTTGACAACATGTTTTGTGCTGCTACGACGTTGTGTATGAATATGTTTGGTTGGGGGGTTGGGGACAGAAGCCTTGATAGTTCGGTCGTTGTTCGAGGGTTGGAAGCAAACATTGAAGCATTTGGCAAACAAAAACTTCAGACCTCTTGACTCTTGTCTTGGCCTCTTGCCTGGTTGTTTTGGCTATCAGTTTAATGCACAAGCCGTGAGGGCCTTGACACACACACACACACACACACACACTGCTTGCAATTCTTTAGTGTTGACTTTGATGCTTCGCCTTGCTGCTTGCGGTCCTCCTTCGGTGTTGAACTTTGCCTTGCTATGCCTTGCTGTCTGTTTCGGATGCGTTGTCTGCCGTGGCGTTGACATTGCTCCCACGCCCGAGTCAAGTGGCTGCCAGAGTCATGACCGCCAGACACACTCTCTTTCAGAGGGGCCGCATTCAGAGGCGTAACCTTGGTTTCGAGCAGATGCCTTCAGCATTCCGCTCTGACATTGTGACGATTGTGAAGGAGTGACAAAGCACTTCACTCCACGCATACAAGGAAGTCAAACCGAAGCGTCTCCCTCGTAACCTAGTGGATCAATCCACAACAACTTCGCACATGTCCACACTATAACTATCAAAATCAAAAGGCATGCGAGTTTTCCAGAAACGAATGTAAATAATAAACCGCCAAACACAGACCCAACAAAAATTGCAGAGGCATGAAACGGCTGCGCAAATTTTCTGATGCTAATCAACGACGCATCATCCAATTCCTTCTTCCACTTAGAATAGAACTGGAACATTTCTCTTGTACGAGCTGGACATGCCGCACCCATCGCAATATCGTCCAGCGTAAAAACAAAGGTCAAGGCAGTGCTATTCATGACTATGTCCAGGTCTTTGCCAGACTTCACTAGCACATGGACTCCAGCAAATGACAATAGAACTGGAATCACCCATTTGAAAAAGGCTAAAATGGCAGTAAGCATGTCATCCAAACCGAAGAAACTGAAGCTGCCGCTTGTTAGCCAAATCGCCTTTCTGACACTTCGGATACTCAACCCATTTTGCTCACAGAACGATCTGGCTCCAGCAAACTCGTCACGTGAAAAGATGCTGCTGAAGCTCGTAAGGCTGTTGTTCCAGGCATCCTGCCAGGCCTTTGTGACGCTCCAGTCATGATCTTTGCAAATTGCTCTGGTAAAGATCACTGCTTTTTGAAACTCAACGGTGCACTGTGCAAAGAAGATGGCCAGGGCCGTCCAAAGCAACCAATTGCTGATCTGTTCCTCGGGGTGGTCTGGTTTTGCAGATTGGAGTTCGAAAAATCGTCCCGAGAACACACTCTTCAGAGGGGAGTCCTCAACTCGCATGTAGTAGATCATGACCTCAGTGGCACTCAAAACCGTGACAAAAACAGATCACCCAGGGCTCCTGGGAACGAATTCTCGAAGAGCAAGGAACGAATTCGGCAAATTGACGAATGGTTCCAGGCGATTTTCCTCTACCAGTCGTTGGTTCATGTTGGTTCCATGTCGATCTTTGACTGAGACCCTAAAAGCTTGGAAGGAGCTTTTGAATCCTTTTATTTTTGATGATACAAGTATTGTTGTGCTCGAGTTGCCAGTTGGGCAATGATGGAGAAAAACAGGATCACGAAGGTGACGAACAGTTGCCACATTTCATTGGCACCAAGCCAACGACCACGTATTCCAAGCTTTTTGTCAAGCCTGGGCTCCTTCATCAATGCCTTTGCCGCAAGGTAGCCCATAAAATAAGCATCGCTCTTCAGAGTATCAATCAAATATTCGGTCAAATACTCTTTATATGGCTCCTCATCATTATCCTGGTTCGCCTCAGGGTCCAACTCTGCATCGCTACTTTCATCATTCTGCAGCAAGGGATTTACGGACATGGCTTCCAGCAATAGAGCCAGAACTTTCCCGCATTTTCCCGCAAACATCACAAATACCCGGACAGGGCAGAATAACTGTATGATGCTGGATGCTATTCATATTTCACACATACACACATTAACAAATGGAATTCAACTTCCAAGTAGGTTCTCTAAAGACACCAATACGAATCCATATGAACAAACAAACACCATCAAAATAAACGAGAAGAAGACCACGACAATCCGGGCGCCGGCCACGCGCACGTTCCCTTGCCGGAGGCCTTCGGTTGGTAACCGAAGGTTATATACGCTCGCGCCCCCTGCCGCCGACCCTTTTGTTGGACCCCGTGTCGCCCGAATACGGTCGACAGATTTATGTGTATCTTACGCAGGATGTTCAAAAAATGTTCAAAAACATCGGTTTTTGCAGTGTTTCGTGGCCTTCGGCGTCCACGACTTTCGCCTAACAGGGCGCTCGTGGTGTCGGTTATGCGTGCCGCGCGTGCAGGCTTAATCGACATTTCGTGGGTGTTGGGCACATAAGTTGCCTAACATATCCCCAACATAGGCCCAAGATAGCCAGCATATGCCCAACATAGCCTCCAAGATGGCTCAACATAGGGCCAACATAGGCCAACATGGGGCCAACGTACGCCAACATAGGCCCAACATAGGCCCAACCTAGGCCAACATAGGCCTAACATAGGCCGACCTAGGCCCAACATAGGCTCAACTTGGGCCCAAGATGTGCCCAACATAGACCACATGGGCTCAACTTGGCCCAACCTAGGGCCAAGATGCGCACCAGATAGCTTAACTTTGCTCAATATAGGCCCCACCAAGTCTCAAAGAGAGCGAGAGAGAGAGAGAGAGAGAGACAGAGAGACAGAGAGAGAGAGAGAGACAGGACCCAGCCCTGCACATACCCAAACCCAAATAGGCCGGCGCCCGGCTGTCAGGCGTAAGCCTCATAAATAATAGCAGCCGCGGGAATATCGGACCGTGCGCATTGATTCTAAGGCCTTATTGTGGTCTCAGTTTACTCAGTTACCCTCCGTTTCTTTGTTGAGTTTAAACCACACAAATGACAAAAAGACATGATAAGACAAGAACTTCACAGATTGATCTCGCAGGTTCTTCTTCTCTTCCTGCAGTCGGTCGTGTCAGTCAGGTTCGAAGGGCCTGCCTGACTTCTGGTCCAACTCCTCCAAATGCTCCTGCCGCTTGATCTCGTCTTGACCGCACGAAGAAACGCAACCAAGTACTACTGTACGGGAGAAACGGGCGACAGTTGCGTATAGTATCTTCTACCTCTTCTATGTGTGCTCCACAAAGTTGCATACACGGATATGTTGATACCGGCAAGTGCTGAGTGTGGTCAAACACTTGTCGCACAAACCATATACTGTATATATATACACACACACACATAGTATTTACACCATTTACAAAGACTTAGAAGCTACCTACTTCCTGAAACACATCCCTGAATCTCTTCTGCCTTCCTCATGACCTACAGGCTCCGCGTTGTTCTCTCCTCCGGCTGAAAGTTGAGGTCTCCATCGAAGATGAGCTCCTCATGCCGGCCAGGCGCAGGCAGGCTTGGCCAGGCCGCAGGGGCCAGAGGAAGAAAACCTCTCGAGCCATTCAATAAAAAGAACAAGTAACCAACCTGGTTGTTATTCCTATTTATTAATGTTATTTAACTTTTTTGTTTCAACAAACCTGAGCACACTACAGAGCTGCCAACCTCCTCTGTCCTTGTCCCTGTCCCTGTCTCTCTCCTTGGGGGTCATTGTACAGGTGACAGACAGTCACAAGTGAGTTGCTGGTCGTCCCATGGTAGTTTCTTCCCATCTTCCCAAGACTTCAGAGAGTTCATGAGCAGAGTGCCAACCACACCCATGACCCCATTTTGCAGAAACATCGCACCACGCAGAACTTTCCATGCGGTTCCTTCGTTTCAGGGGCCCACTGAAGCAGTCAGTCACAAGACACCCATCGGACATCAACGCTGCAACATGCTGCAACACTGCAACTCCTCGGAGAAGATGAAGGCAGATAAGAGGACCACGCAGGTGAGCAACAAAAGTTTTGACCTCGGAGTCTGCAGCGTGTCATAGGCGGTGTTTCAACATGGATTTTTCATCATTTTTTCCAGTGCAGTACTTGGCATGTCAACATTCAGTACACCTCGTTCAACCCTTTTTTCCGGCTCTTGCGACAGGAAAGACATATGAAACATGAGCGAGCCATGTGGATTCACATGGATGGAGCGCAGCGAGCCATGTGGAGTGAGCCAAAGCGAGCCATCTGTTTTCTCTTCTGCGTCCCTCCCCCCGGTCTTGTGGCGACGGAGTGTCGGGCCGGAAGTGCATCCCATGGGATGTCCGCTCATGGCCTAAGTAGCACGGTTGACACCGGTGAGGAGTCTCAACCTGCTGAAGATAAAGTTGACAAAGTTGTTACAACCTCTGAACTAGAGGTACTCTTTTCATGGGAAGGTACTCTCTGGATGCTACAACTCTGCATCATTCACACATTGAACGAGTTCTTTTACGACTGTTCAGCAACATCCCTGCTTGTGCAAGCAAAGAATGAGTGTCTGAGTTCGCCAAAAGAGTTCACACTGGTCCATGAGCGCCAAAAGAGTATTTAGCTAGAATTACGAGGACACGAGGTGGGTTTGGACATTTAAGGGTATAGAACCGGATACACTACTAAGTACTACTTACTGCTTGCTCCTTACTGCTTTCTCCTTACTCCTTACTACTTCCTACTTGCTACTCACTACATACTACTTACTACGTCCTACTTACTACTTCCTACATACATCTACATACTACATATTACTATTACTTACAACCTACTACCTTTGTACTACCTACTACTACTTCTACTTCTGCTACTGCTACTGCTACTCCTACTACAACAACAACAGCAACAGCAACAACAACAACAACAACAACAACTAGTACTACTACTACGACTACGACTACGACTACGACTACGACTACGACTACGACTACCACCACTGGTATGCGATGTTTTTGACTGTCCAGCACAGATCGAACATGGGTCCCTGATCTACAAGTCGTGCGTGCTAACAGTCCTGGAGAACTCTGGTTTGCAACTTCCAGCTTCGAGATGAAGAACAGTCCGGCGCTGTTTGGAGATTGGCTCCCTCATGTAGACTGATGAATATCACAGGCCTGTAGCAGAATGGCTTTACATCTGCCTTCCACTGCCACTCGAGCTGTGAAGCACCAATGTCCGAGTTGCTGGCAAGGAACTGGGAAAAAGTATTAAAACACCCTCAGAAGGGGATTCAGCCCCCAAAAACCAAAGCAAAAGAATCCCCCGATTCTAATCTGCAAAACCATGTGTACCGTCACCGTCACTGGAGATCGTCAATCGACCGCAATCTGCCTCGATCCCGAGGTCACCATGAGGCACCAGGTGCGACACGAGAACAGTTTCGTATTAGAATGACCTCATTCATTTGAGCATCTTGAAGCTCAGGACTAGATACTTTGTTTGGGGTATGTGTTGTTTTGAATGGCACTTTTCATGTCGGCTGAACGCGTTTTCTGGTCATTGGACGCTAAACAAAGTCACGAGCTGAATAGATTGCTACTATGCGCTTCACTTTGGGAGAACGGACTGTTAGCTTATGTCACAAAGTATAGATCAACAAACATAACAGCAATTCATATTGTCATTGATGTGCTCATTCGTAGCGCTTAGACAATCACGCCCAACCATATGAGTTTGTTCAGAGCTGCCATCTTCCTCCCTGGATTGGATTCAATTATTTAAGCGATTCGGACGTCCACGTCTCCATGTCTCTAAGTTCACTAGAGAGCAGCTTTCCTATGCTTTCCTGGTCTTCTTCCATTTAATCCATCATTCTGAAATGTCTTGTTTGCCGGCATATACCTTGTACAAAGCCGTGTTCATTCATGTTCTGCCAGCCAATGCTGCGGTGAACCCCCACCATGCTTCACCAGGTAAAGGGTGTTGTAGATACAGTACTTAGTCAGCTCATTTCAAGATCGTCAAGATTCTTCTTGTGAGTTATCCTCCACTGCCCGTCAGGCTCATGCCTGCCCGGACACTCAGGAACTGACGTCGGACAAACAGAACCCATGAAGAGATAAACAGAGAGAGAGAGAGAGAGAGAGAGCGGGGGGGCGGGGGGGCAGTCATTCCGTGGGCCTTTCAGGAAACCCATCTTTCAGAAGCTGAGTTGTTGACTCCTTCGGATTGCTTTGACCGAATGAATGTGTCTTCTCCAGGACACCGCATATTTGATGCCTTTTGCCGTGGGCGGTCGAGAGCGCTTGCCCGCGGACACCGTCTTCCGTGGCACGACTTCGCTGTCAACTCTTCTCCTGTCAGGGGCGACCCAGTGGACCAAATGGCCACCGTGTGACCGTGTGACCGAATGCACAAGAGAGACCCCGCTCTCGACATGCTGTCCGAAACAGGGATGAACTGCCAGACTGTCCAACATGAACACGCGAACTCGTTCACCTCACACCCGCAGTGATGGAAACCGATCCAAGCACCCATGTAGAAGACATAGTCGGCTTTCCATGCGAGTGACATGGATTAAATACACTTACACTTATTCAGATTAATACAATTATCCTATGCAACACTTTTTTGTAAGGGGGACTGCTGATATAATGGAACCCGTCAAATGCCTTGGCGCCTCGGTCTACCCAGTTGTAACCTTTTCATTCCCTCATGAAGATGGGAAAAGCATGTGCATGTTACTCATGCCTCATGCCGAGAAGGATATTCCCAAACATATCTGAAGTCATTTCCTTAGATAAAAGAAACATTTCTAATGCAGTACAGTGCATCTTCTATCATCTTCTATCAGGAACTTTTAATTACTGTTCTGTCATGTTCTATCATGGTCTATCAGTTGTATGTCACTGGTGTTGCACTCCAACATCCTCGAGACCTTCAACATCCCTTCTTCGGACAGTCCCTCCAATCCGTTTCTTCCCAGGGCAGGGCGCTCGTCCGATCACCCCCACCTCCACCCCCTCTCATCCTCCGTCCGTCCTCGAGCGCTTCCAGAAGCTGCTTCCGCGCTTCCGCGGCATTGGCCTCTTTGAGCTCTGCCTGTCGAGTCGGAACTGGAAGGCCTTGGAGTCCTCGAGCATGGACAACCTATCAGGTGGTGAACCTATCAGAATGCACAACAGGTTGATCTAGCTTCGATGATCTATGTGTCCATCGTGAGTTTTGTTGTTTTGTCCTTTTGCTTTTTGTTGTTGGTTTGATTGGGTTGGGTTGGTTGGTTTCTCCAAGCTCCTTGGAAAAAGGTGGACGCTTGGTTTAGCTTGGACATTGAAGATCCAAACTATTACTGACCGATGACCGTTTGCCCCAACAACGCAGCTGGACCGGCGAACCGGCCACGTCCCAACAATTCAGCATCCTTCACCCCCAAACGATCACTCCCCAGTATCCCAGTGCAAGCTTGGGGGCCTGCAAACCTGTCCCTCACATCATTTGCAACCACAAACCGAACCAACTGCATCCAATTGCCTTCATTCAAAACACCACACTCACGCCCCGTTTTGCTCAATTTTGTTCATTGGGCTCGACTCGTGGATTGCAATAAACCTCTGGATGAGGACAAAACCCCAACTCACCACCAACGCGTGTTCGTCAGGTATTCCAAAATGCGTCAACCAAGCCTCTCTTCAACACTTGAATCGATCATGGAAAACCGGCCCCCCCATGGTTTGCCACGAGTTCTGCGCGTCCGACCTCCTTTTCCGCCTGTTCTTTGGCCTCTGCCTCGGCCCGCTTTTGCTCCTGACCGAGCATGTTGGCCGACCGAGCATGGCGGCCAACCGTGCTCCTGCCGGTTGTGCTCCTGCCGGTCTTTAGCCCCATGTTTCCACCAGCCAGCTAGCCATGAGATAACTCAGATAGCTAGGAACACATCCTAGCTATTAAGAAGTGACATCGTCTCTTGGATCGTCCGTGTCTCTTGGATCGAGAAACCGCTTCTCCTCACTCTTAGCAGCTTCGGCCTTGGCAGCCAAGGCATCAGCCTAGCGGTCAGCATCACCATGGTGGTCATTGTGGTGTCACCCCAACGCAGTCACTTCGTGGTGATTGGATGTGAACGATGTTCCGGATTCCAGACCCAAGTAGTTGAAACATTAGTTTTGGCACAGGGGCATCTGGTGGAATGGGGTTCCTTAAGACTGGGAGATCTCGGACTGGGTTAAATTGAGGTGACTTGATGGACTCTGTGGGGATAACATGAAGAACATCAATTAAAAGAATTACTGTATGCCACTCGGCGCCAAAACAAATTCTCCAGCAAAAGAGTGGTCGCAAAGTTGGTCAGGGATCTGTGGGTTGTAATTGTAAAGCGGAATCAAGCATCTGACAACTGATGGTTGTTAAACTGTTACCATGGTGGCCGCCATCTGTGGATTTATCATGATTCTATGTTTATCTGCGGGTTGTCTATTTCTACAGTAGTATTCCAGTCGATCAAGCCAAGAACTGAATCTTCTTCAGCATACTTGGAAGATATCACTATCCAATGAGGCCACCGTCCTTGCGTTGGGGTTTCTCGGAGTGGTGAATCTCAGCTCATCTCAAACATAAGAGCTTCATGAAGCTTTTAGCTTCGTGGCAGTCCAAACATCTTCTCAACCCCATCTCTGCTGGGCTTTCACAGGAAACACACATCTGGAACTGGCGCCCTGAGCCCTTAACTTGTCATCCACAAGGGAAGAGTTTGGAAGATCCACACCAAATCGGCTTGCCCCTCATAGGCAGGAACGGATCCCGTTTTCCTGCTTGACATCACCCAGGGTCGGCCCCCAGGGTCCCTCATCTTCCCGAAAAAACACGGACCAAACGGCGCTTGTGTGGCTTCGAGCTGTTACATCTGTTGCTTGGCCGTGAGTTCTGCTCCAAATGAACGGTCGTTGTCGTTGTCTCCGTTTTGGGAGAATGACCGTGCGTTCGCTGCAGGATGCGGAGCTGTGACCGGTCCGCCTCCTGTTGAGCTTTCAGCGCCACTTTCAGGTGCCGACGGAACCTGGGATGTCCCCTGTGCGAGTACAACAAATCCCCCGTCCCAAACAGTCACTGAGGTAGAAGAAGTGAACAAAAGTGAACAAGAATACAGCCAGCCAGCGTGGTCCGAACCCAAACAAAGGATCTATTAGGAAGTCAACCTGATGGACTCTAGTGATTCTGGGCTATTTCAGATACTCTCCCTCCAACAATCCTGGAAGTGGACGTTCTGACCCCTTGGAAGACTTTCCCACACCAAAAGGTGGTTGTCCACTTCCGTGATTGTTGCCAGATACAACTTCACATGATAATGGAAAGATATTTGAAGTGCGACAGATATGGGAAAGATCTACAAATATCCAAATCAGTGCGACCGACTGAAATCAGTGCGACACACCCGCGCGTCACACTGATCACATGTGTCACATGTGGAGTGGCAGGTCTTGCGACCTGACAGGTCTCCCGCAATTCACAGTGGACATGCAGCATCGAAAACCACCCCAGAACCTGTGCCTGGAAGGAGCCCCTGCAAAAACACGAGAAGAATCGACTGAAATTGCAAAAACTTGGGATGTGCTAGTATACCGGCACACAAAAAGAAACGAGGATCTTTTAATTTTGCAAAAGTCAACGCGTGCTTGCGACTTGCATCCATCCAGACCCACCTAAAACCAGCCGTCTGCGACCCAGCACGCTCTTGCAAAAGTGAACCAGTAGTAGGATCCCTGTTCAATCTACCCCTCCTCCCCTAACCAAAGTAACCCAGCACCAACCCGGAAGAGAAGAATCATCACAGCCCGCCATTTCTTGCAGTGAATCTACTTTTAGGGAGTCCCTCCCGGAGGTCTTTTGTGAGGAAACCCCCGTCTGTTGAGACGATTCCGACCAGTGACAACCCCGCCACTCCAGTGCCGTCTGCGCCACTCCAGTGCCGTCTGCGCTGACAAAGGCAGTGAACTGCGAAGGACGGCGGAAAACTTAGCATTTTGGGGGGCGAAAAAGGAGTCAGGGAAAGCTGGGATTAAGCCGGTTGAAGTTTCATCCGAGAGACATGAAAGTAGAAGGTAGTCGAACATGGCATTGCTTTTTGAAAGAAGCGTCTTCTGCTTCCGTGCTTGTTGGGAAAAGAGTCAGAGAGGGCAACAGGATAGGATTTCCTCCCAGAGGCAAGTGAGGTGGTTGAATAGGTTGGTGAGATTGGTGCAACGCGAAGGACACACCCGCAGGATGAACACTGTCTGTCACTATCTACATCAAGCTTCTGAGCCTTTTGCAATTCATCATGCCTATTTGGGCCTTCACGTCACCTCCAACATACGGAGCATCCAAACAATGACAATTCCGTTCCTTCCAAAGTGAACTTCGAGTTTTGCTTAGGGCTTATTACTATCTCTTGTAAAACAATGTAAAACATCGTTTCTATCCTGTCTGCAGTGTGCGCACTCGGAAATCCAGTGTCGAACTTTTGAGTGTGGTGGCTTGAAGTCGACCCTTGCCTTTCCACATCCCTCCACCAAAAGTAGAATTGAGTTGAATCATCGAGACCAGCTGCAAAAACCAATCGGACCGTCCGGTGCGCCTGGACAAAAGCTCGTCATCTTCCTGCACCGTGGTCTTGGCCTCATGGCTTCACCACAGCCACTCGTTCGATCTGCGCCATTGACATCCATTGACTGGTTTTTTAGTTCGTGGTGGATCTAGAGTTGTTTCTGGGTTTTTTCTCGCCTTGAATGTTGGCTGGCTCTTCAATTCAACCACCTTTCAGCCAAAGACACATTTGACATGGACACCGAGAAAGAGAGTGAGAAAAAACAGAGATAGAGAGAGAGAGGGGAGAGATAATAGCGAGCGAGGAAGAGAAAAGGGCAAAGGCAAAGAGAAAAAGAGAGGAAGAAATGGATAACTATAGGGAGACTAAATGCACCTCTGCGACTCTGCCATCTTCCAAATCATATTCGTACACATGTTGTGGGCTTTTCCGTCGAAGCGCGGCTTAAGGGCAAAGTCCAACAAATGCAGATCCCCATCACACCCTTTGAATGCCGTAGTTGGGCGTCCAATCCATTTTCTGCTAAAGCTTGGCGCGAAAATTGAATTCAATCGTGGTACAGTATATAATTAAGCATGTTGAATGACATCAACGCAGAATGCCCTGCCATCCAAACCCACCCATTAGGTGGTCGTTGGAGCTACATCTGTAGAGACCGTGGTTTATGGGCAAAAGATAAGATGGAAACAATGTTTGGATTGTCCTCCCTCCTGGCTCAGCCTGGCTCCCCACAAGATTCGCCAAGTGCTCGACTAAGCTTTCACGTATGCTTTCGGACTCGTCCTTGACGAGCCACCTCAAGCGCACTCTGGCAACATTTGGATACATTTGGACCATGTCGAGTCTGGCAAAGCAAAACCGAAACGATCTGGAAATTGTTGGACCAAGTGCCGGATTTTTGCGAGTGCTTTTGTGTATTCTAAAGGTCGATCGGGATTTCTCTAGCAGGGTCGGTGCGAGATCTATTACCTCACTACCCAGCACGGTGTGCTTTCGAACAGACAAAACAGTTTCCGTTTCCGATGGATCCAAAATCCCACGGCTATTTTTCCAGCAGCAACACATCACGGCGAAGCTGGCACGAAGCTGTGGAGCTGCAGTCTGGCTTGACGGTCAACCAGTGAATCAAACCTGGGCACCCAACAAATTCATGACATGAAATCCATGATGTTGCACGTCAAAGTCTACTGGACAGAACCTCATCCTCCCCCAAGAACTGCCCAAACAAACTGAGAAAAAACAAGGACGTACATTATAATATATATTTATGATTATGTATGTATATAATAACTGTATAATATTGTATATTCAAGCAAGGATGTATCCTCAAGGTCTCCTGCAACATGAACCGATGCTCACATTTCTCAGGCCTCACCGGCATCTCCATCCGCCGCACCGTCACCGTCCGCCTCGCCCGCTCCGCGGAAGCGGCGCACGTAGAAGCGCAGCACCGGCCGCTGATCGGCTCCAGCGCGACCGAAGCTGGGCACGGCGTAGAAGCGCCGGCCACCTGGGACAGGCCGGCCACGTGGGAAGAGGCGGGCGAAGGTTCGCCGTTTCCAAAGAGCGGTTTGCCGACTTTGAGTGAATCATCGGATGAGTTTATTTGGGGGTTTTCTTTGGGGAGTGCTTCACCTGTTTGTTTTTTGCGCTACAAATACATTCCGAAAGCAGAATCGCCCATGGGCACGAACAGAAACCGCTGGGCTTAGATGGTCTACGATGACATGGATATCATATGAATTTGTTTCTTTTTATTCCTACAAGCAGGTGATTGAATCGGATTGAATCGGCTCGAATAGTGACTTTCTCTGGTCCAGGGATCTGTAATTCATCCGTTTCAGTCGGTGACTGCGAACCCCGCTCTTCACCTCCTGATCAAAAACAACCTTCGCTTGCTTGGCCATTCCCTCTCGCAAACGGCCCTTCCTATGGCACGGACCGCGCGCCCTGCCGCTCAACGCTCCGCGGATCTCCGCCGCTGTCTTGATCGCGAGTGAGGATCACTCCTCATGGACTGACTCCCTCAGTTGAGTGGGGAAAAACCCATCCTAACAAGGTTAAGGGTGGTCCATCCACTGACGGACTTGGAGGACAGGTCCTGAACACCAGGCCGCTCCGCAACCACCACCGGCCGCACCGAAGCGGCGCTCGTCGCGCTCTTGCGACCAGGCCACTGGTCAAACGAGGCAACGCGGCCAAGGCTCGGATGGCCACGGCCACCGCGTTGGTCTCATCCGAAAAGCAGTGGAGGGCCACTGCCTGGCCGGAAGTCGACCGGAACTGCGGACCAAGTCCGGGATTCCAGGGTGTTTGGGACCAGGACTTCGGCACTCAGTTTTGGGGGAGTCAAGTTGGGTGTGACACCACACGCCCACACGCCCCCTTCCTCAACATGGGTGTTGAATGGTGTTTAAATATATACCTGTTGATGTAGATTCTTAAATCATGGTGTGCAGATGTTTGCAGTATTGTGGAGTGCAAGGCGTGTCCAACAAAAACACAACGCAAAGAACTTCGGCACCAACATCTGGCCTTGGATTTCCTCACCTCTGCCAGGACAGCCCAGCCCAGCTTGTCAATCGGCGTTTGCTCTCGAGCAATCCGCTTACCTGAGCAAGTGGCAGGGGCAAAGGGGTGGCTGACTTGCCTATTTGGATGTTTTTTGGAATGTTGGAGTGTGAACTTCTTCTCAACTTGGGAGTGTGAATGTCCATTTTGACTCCCTCCCAAGAATTTGCTGGACGCTTTGTGGATCTTTGTGGTAGTTCAACCGAATGTGTCGGCTTGGCACAGTGGTAAACCAAAGGAGCAGTCTCAAATAGACATAGAATCACTTCCAAATGTCTTCTACGGGCAGCTGTGAGCTTTCTGTTTTCGTCTTTCTTGATTCATGTGGGGCCCTGATAAATCAGAAAAAATACTTGACAACCCCCAAGGAACACCCACTTGAATCAAATGGGATTGGAGTGGGACATGCTGCCATTAAGGGATCAGAGGTGCTTGTAAAGCTGGCACCTATGCCATCCTCAAAGCGCAGGGGGGTGCCTGGGAAATCATCACTCCCAGCAGATTATGTGCACCCCTCTGAGCATGTGCTGATGGGACAAACAGTTCCCCCATGGATGCAATGGCATACACCTATGTCCTTGGGACAGCTGAGCATGATGAGGGGAGGACCTGGCTCATCAACTACAGGTGTGCCAGCATCTTCAGTGAACAGTGTTTGCCTAAGGTATGGAAGATTTGCTGAGTGGTGTGTTTTGTGGTGGTGATTGGGGGTGGGTCTTTGGGTAAGGTGGAGAGCCTGATGGTGACACAGCCAGTGAGGATGAACCCTCATCTGAATCCAGCAGGTTGGTGCCAAAGTGGTTTTGGTGACCTATCTAGCTAGCTAGCTAGCTACCTAGCTAGCTAGCTATCTATTTGTCTTCCTCTCTTTGTCCATCTCTTCTTTTCTTTCTTGTTTATTTCTTTCTTCCTATCTAGCTAGCTAGCTAGCTAGCTATCTATTTGTCTTTCTCTCTTTGTCTATCTCGTCTTTTCTCATTTGCACCTTGTGTTCAGCTTTGTTTGCAACCAATGCATTTTCAAGACTGATGTGCCTGGCAGGTGGGCTGCTTGAGAGGGCTCTGCAGAGTTTTGAGAGATTAAGTGCACAGTGCATCACAAGAAAAAACAGATTTGCAGCTCCAACTTTGTTTTTTTTGTTTTGCTTGGGCCTGGCATAGTTTTGCTTGGGCCTGGCATGGGGCCCATGAGGGGCAGACATGGGCCTAGAAAAATCAAGAACACTCTAAACAAGAAGTGATGTACTGCCGCCTGATGAAAATGAATTGGACTGTGAGGTCGTTTCGATCACTCACCTTATATCCACTTGGAAGAAGACAGGGGTCACCGGCTCACTCGCATTCCTTCCAAACGAACTAAACTCCTCCCGGATTTTTAGACCAATCCGGCACCGAAGCCACGGTCCCGTCCCGAGGTGCTCGTCTGCGCGAAGTCGATCGCATTGAAATCGTCCCAGGTTTGCCCTCGCCAGGCACGAAAGCGAATCTTGCTTCTGGACGGACGGAACTCGCTCCCACTCCTCGTGTGCGCGACGTCGGCAGGGCGCACAGGAATGGGCTTCGGTGCGGTCTGGTGGTGGGCAGGGCATGGGATGGCATGGGTGGCTGTTGGCCAAGGGATCAAAGGATGAAACTGGAGAAACACTGCCACATTGCATCAGCCTCAGGCCCGAACGATAACACGAATAAGATCAAGTGGTTTCTCCCTTCGGTAGAGCTACTAGGCCAAAGCACACGGCAATCTAGGAATCTAGGACCTGCTTGACGCCAGACTTGATTCGGATTGATTCGGTGAGGGCAAGGCCAGCTTCAATTTGGAGGAAGGAGATTTCCGGTTCAAAAACACCCGTCTCCTTCTGGCCCCATTCCAACAAGCTGCCCCATATCGAAAACTCTAACCGATGAGTTTCAGGCAGTGCAAAATAGACTGTGTGTGATCGCCCATGAGGCTGTGTGTGATCATGTTGCTATGATGATGCATGTTGCTGTGATGTCCCCTAGCTGGTTGCATTTAGCGAACAACACGACACAACACGACAAACTCCTCCTTTGCACATGCAGAGGCCTCTGCTAAAAAACAAACCTCCTCTCTTAGCATCCCAGTGGCTGTTCTTGCGGTTTGGCTTTCCCAGTCACCTCCACTCGAAACTCTGCTGTGAAGCCCTTCACTAGAGACAAAGCGCGAACCGCATGCAGGATCGCGTCTGCACCCATGCAGTCCTTGGCACCAAAGACGTACTTTCTTGGTGGGAGTACTTAGAAGCGATGGCCTCCTAGATAAAGATGACAAGATTACCCTGTGTTTGGCATATTCGACCCCCAGCAACAGCGGATGAGGACGGTTACAAACGACCTTTCTCGAACTCGAACATAGTGATAATCTCTTACCGGCTGTTACTGGTCATGGAACACACCCCATTTGAAGCTTTTGTCTCTTCTTTTGTCCCGTCAGTCCTTGAATATCCTTGAATATTTTTACTTTTTGTTCCTTCCATTCGTGACCACCGCCATGGATGAAAAAGAGATTTGAATCACAACATACAACCACAGCCCATGGGCTGCACACTTGCTTTTTCCTGTGAGCAGTAATTCGAGTCGATGCTGCAAACATCGTGTGCTTTCGGCCTTCGGCTGAAAGCGCCTTCGACCCAACGAAAGGCGGCGGGGTCGTGTCGTTTAGAGGTCGTCCAGTCTTAAGTGCTGCGTCTGTGGCTCTTAGATTCCAAGCAATTTCAAGAAAGAGAATCTTCAGCATCGACCTCTTCAAACAAAACAACACTTCTTATACATTGATCTTACCACCAGGCCTTACCAGGCCCAGCCTTGATGTCCGCCCCAAGCGTCCATTTGCACTCGATTTCCTTGATGAATCTGATCCTGCACTGCGGCATAGAACCGCTTCAGCGCTGCCGGATCCGGCTCCTTGCCCGGGGGATAGGCCACAAAGCTACGGTCGCTCAGAGACGGCGGATCCACAAAGGCTCCGAAGGTGAGATAGAGGAAGATTCGACTGCGAGGGTCGTCCACTGGATTCACCACGTTCCTTGCAACGTTGGAGAGAGCTTCAGGTGATACTGAAATCTGAGCGAGAGGTGGCAGTGAGTAGTAGTGGAGCCAGCTGGAGGGGCTGAAGTATGTCGTGGGAGGTAATTTGCCAAAAAGTAACGAGGGTAGAAGTATGTAGGCTTGGCGGAACTACGAGGGACATGGAGATTGAAAGTGATCCAGCATGAAGTTCTTGTCATTTTCTAGAATCGAGCCTTTGACCTTCTTCCTCATCTTGCAACTCTCTCCCAACATGGCTGCAAACCTACTGTTTGGTTGCAAACACTCACACCGTGGCGTATGAGGTCTTCACTTCTCTCAGGAGAAAACCCAGCACGTCTCTCACGGCGTTTTTTCAGGCTATTTCGTGCAGAAGCTTCGCTACACATCTCAGCTTCTTGAAGGGATAGAGGGATGGCGCCATCGCCAGTGCTTTCACCAAGACGTTGATGCCTGTCTCATCATCCCAAAGGCCAAAAGCCCGAACGGCTTGCTCTCCTTCAGGCGCCAGTTGCAGTGCAGAGACCAAGTCCCGGGACAGCTTCACCGCAGAAGTCTCCTCGGTCACCGCCAGGCTGCGCGAGTTCATGACCCGTGTGGGCAGGTAGTCCTCAGTCAGAGACTCGTCTCCGAGCAGCACAGCAGGAAACGTCTGGGGGTGGCGGCCGTTCTTTGACATGAGATAAGAAACACATCGGAGAATAAACAACTCTCTTGAAGAAACCACACTGCGGGTGCTTCACGTTCAATCAACAGAACCAGGCATCCTCCCAGGTCAAGATGTCCAGAGATCTGAAGTGGAACTGCAGTTCCTTCTCCTTGGAGCTCGAGGAACTGTTCCACTTGCAAGGCCAAAGCATGGGCTGATACTCACAGTGTCCTATAGTTTTGTGATGGCTTATGTGTTTTCGGGTTTCACAACCAACTCCAAGACTCCAAGCGGACTGGAAGGGCGATTCAGTTTCTTCGAATGACTGGAGCGAACGAGCGTGGCTGCCACCCACATCGAAACAATCATCGCCAAAAATCATCTTATCCGCAATCCCGAGTCTCAGACCCTCCTTTTCTTCCTTCCACCTCGAAACAAACAGCGGCGGGCGCAGAAGCCAGGAGCTGCAGAGAGTTTCCTCGCAGATCGAGCGGGCAAAAAGGCCCGGTGGCTGCGAAGATGACGGAAGAACACTTCAAACAAAAACAGAACCCATCGCATTTCATGGTGAATGGAAGGTATATTAAGTATATTCCGCAACCTTTCCAATTACTTCCATGGCGCCAATTCTGTTCATGCTTGAAACACCAATCTTTCAGGACGGTTCAAAGGGTTGGCTGACTACTGATAGGGTAAATATGGTAAGGAACACTTCAACACTTGCAGGACAATCTGAAACACAAGCCATCAAAACATCTTTTGGGTGGCGGTACAGTACCGTACATTTGGCTTTCGTGCTCAACACATGGTGTTCAAAAAAAAAGCACCTCAAACCTGAGTTTCGACGACGTTGGCATGCAAAAGCCTTGCCGAAGAAGACTTGTCAACCGAGCGGTTGGCTGAGAGGTGCTAAAACCATGTTTTGGGGAAGGGGAAGCCTGGTTCAGCCATGGATTGCCTCGCTTTGCCTCGATGTTCCCGACCAGGAGCATCGTGCCCAATGTACAATGAGAAGTAGAGAAGTGAACTTCAGGATTTCAGCGACCGGAGCCTATGCTGAAAATGATGCTTGGACTCATCGAAGGGTCCTACTACGTGTAAAGATGGACTAACTTGTTGCTTGCCTATGTTGAGCTGGTCACCCATGATGTAAACACCACCACCACCACCACCACCACCACCACCAGCAGCAGCAGCAGCAGCAGCAAACACTAGCGGATTCTTTTTTGTGGCCAAGAAACAAGAAACAACCATGCAATACTCTAATGCAACAAATGTATTATGTTGGATCCATCTAGTCCCGCCGCACCAGGCCCCCAACAGCTGCGCCCCTGCCCGAGTCTCGGACAGCTTCGGGGCCCCAGGGCAAGATCTCCAGTGGCTGCTTCTTCTCCACCGTCCGATGCAAATAGCCTCTGAAGGCGCTCACCTCGCTGCCATCTTCCGGTGAAGACGAAGCGCCACACTTGTTGGGAGGATGGTTTGAAAGTTCTGTAATTCAATCTGTTGGATGGATCACCATAGTCACAAACAAGGAGAAGCACACTTCGAAGCTTCAACAGAATTGGGCCTTCGACAGCACCTTCAAGGAACTGGAGATCCAGAAACATCACAACTCACAACTCGAACTCTCCTGGAGCATCCCTTCTTTCTTCTCTGCTCCGATCTGGGCATCAACGGACCGAACCGGTCGGATAATTCGGGGTCACGTCGTTGGGGGTCGTTGTTTCGGGTCGGTCCTTTCGCCCGCCTTCTCTGCGGGTGCTGCGTGCCCCGGAGGGTGGAACTGGACGGCTGAGCCGGTTCCGCGGGGACCGCGGTGCAGGCGCCACAGAGGCGCAGCCACGCACGCGCGGTGGATGGACAATGGGCGCCATGGCGCAAGCATCGGAGAGGCTGAAGTCGGTTGGTTGGAGTCGATTGGGAAGCATCGAGTTGGTGGGAGGTGGTCTTCCGACATCTCAACACGGCGCAGCTGCGACATCACGGCGTAATTCTGCAGTGATCGATTCTGATGTTGGCCATGAAACTGGGCTGCAACTCATGGTAAAGGCTCGCAACCAAGGTTTCATCTGTTCAGTTCATATCTATTCCCCCGGAAGAAACTATCTACTCAAACTGACTAACCACCATATCTCTGTCCTCCTTGGATCGACTGTCTTCGTCAGCCATCTTAGGATCCAGCAGCTTGATGACAGGAGCGAAGCACAGGAGCAAGTCTCTGCATGTGGTATAGCTGGGTATGGCAAATGCAACTTCTAGAATACATGATGATACATGCAAATGTCCATGTTGGTCTTAGGATGCATTTCCATGATCAAACGCATTGAGTATCACATTCAAAGGCCTCAACTGTCCACCTTCTCCCAACGGAACCCGGGTACCACCGTCTGGGCCGCCCGCTTGCCATCGACCATGGTGGTGCCCATGCATCCCTCGGCAGATGAGGCGTAGCTGGACCTAGCTGGACCCAGACCGGCTAGTATTGAATTCATGACATGGTGCCATGTCTCAAAGATGGCAGAAAGATTTGAATCTGTTTTAATGTAGACATATGATTATGTAGACATTTGATTATATAATACACCCTCAGGATTGTAAAGCTTCATTTTCGAGAGGCTCGCCCTTATTGGGTCATGTCTATGGTCTCGTCAGTTTTTTGAAAACACATCGCTGTAGGCCTTATATCAGAGGCGCTTGACATCATGAGGTCACGAAGCTTTTCGATCGAGCGGCTCAAGATCAACAGCTACCCTTTGCTCGGTAAAGGTTCAACTGGATTCTGTGGGCAATCCATCTCGTCAGCAGAAAAGGCACAGCCCCGGATTGGAAAGGCGAGCAATCTTGGGCCAGGGAGCTGTTTTTCAGGGAGCTGATTTCTCCCTGACAGTGCTGTGGCAGATCTTTTGGTATTCACAACTCCAACCAAACGTCACGAACCATCTGAGACTTGGCGTTTGGATCAGTGGTGGAACTCCTGAGTGCCATCCGGTTGAAACCGAGTGAAACATGACCGGATGAGATGGTTTGCCGGCGGCCGCGGCACCAAGGTGGTCGTCAAAAAGGGGCGATCGTCGTCGAGGAGATTCTGGGCGTTGATTTTCTCTTGTGTGTAGCCTAAGCAGCCTATAGTAGCCTACTGGCTTGTACAGTAAGACTGAGACTTGTCTTGATGCATCTTGATGGGCTCTTGGTGTTTTTTCACGTGTTCTGCAGCCACCAGCTATCGAAACTCTGAGTGCTGACCAGTGTGGCTGAATTTTTCTGCAGTCGACCAGCTGTCGACCAGCTGGTCGAGCTGTTGAGATGAGATTCTTCGCTTCACTTCGCTGTTGAGATTTGATCCCACTGATGGATACCCCCCGCTGTCACGATCGAACCAGAGAACTGACCGGGGCTCAAAACCTGACAAGGGGTTAGGCCAGTGAACAGGACGCCAAAAGACCCAACACTTAAAACCACTCCCACAACTCCCTGACCCAGCCAAGCTTCATCCACAAAGCCGTACCTCATCAAGTACTGCGCATTGGTCAAAGCCTTGGAGGACACAATACTGTTTTCTGGCCACTTGTTTAGGCGATGCAGCTTTTTTTGGGCACGAAAAAGGAGATCATCTAAATCATGTATTGTGCTGATCCAGCTCTTAGCTTGAAGGCTTGAAGGTGTTCTGCACAAATTTTCGCTTTTCGAATCAATGACCCACCGTGCCAGTCAACCCCCCAAAAATGCTCTTCATCCCGTCACATTCGTCTCTGTCAGGTCGGCCGTGCACGCCGAAAGTCTTTACCGGGAAGTACCCCAGTGGGGCCCTCCAGGGCCCTCCCGGTCTTAGCCAGGCAGCGAGATCGCCCACGCAGTCTCCTCCGCAGCCGTCCGGACGGAAGGGGCTGCCGCCATAGCAAATGCGGACCTGGACCGCTGGGACGAAGGGCGGCAAGGTGCGTTTGGAGCTCTAAACAGTAAAAATGAGGTCTGAGGTGTCTTTGGTGGAGGTTTTCTTTTATGGATCACCCCCTGTGAGGACACGTTCGCAACGGTTCAAGGAGCTGTGTGAGACCACGAAAATGACCATGGACCTGAAAACAGGTAGCAGTCGCAACCGACTCCCTGGTCAAAGGTGAAAGGTTTGCTGGTGGAAGCCGTTGTCCTTGCTCGAGTCCCAGCAAACGGTTCTGATGTGTGATGTGTCCATAAAACAAAAGAAACAAGGATGCTATTAGGTGGAGGAACCGCTTTTGGGTGGAGGCCATTACTACTAGTAACAAGAAGCTACTAGTAGCAAGGACTCAAGTAGGTTGGAGGCTCGCTTCACGACTGTAAGCTGTAGCAGGTCTTGGCCCAGCATATCGCGCGAACCAGACTCTTGGCCTAAGATTGGGAAGATAACGCACATGTTTACCAAACATCGTTTCTGGATGTTTCGAGATGCTTTGAGCATCATTGGTCTTGAAACTGGAGGCAAACCACATCTCTTCCTCAAGTGCGCTAGTCTCAGGTGTCCTTCCAGGATTTTTTTTTTACACCGTCCCTTCGGGCCGATCCTTGTCCGTTCAGCGGCAGCTCCCAACATAGTTGTATGGCCTGCTCCCAGCACCCCAGCACCTGTCCTGTGTACTGATACTTTTAGTACCCATAAAGAAACTTTAATAAACAAAGCAAATTCTGAACAGGCCCTCACTGTGCGTTTCCTGGTGGTTATTGTTCCCCAAACAGGTTTACCTACAATAAAGGGGGTTCTTCCTCTTTTGAAGCAGTGCTTTTGCTGATCATAGGGCTTGTCTCCACTTGCAGATCCACTTGTCTCCGGCTGCCTTCGGGTATTTGCTGGGTTGGTTGAGTCTTCTCTCTTGCCTCTTCGTGCGACGAATGGCTCTCTCCGGCTGTGTCTCGGTGTTCACGATTGCTTGGAACGCATCGTTTGCCAGACACGTCGGTGCTGAGTTGTTGGGTCGTGTGTGGCGTGTGCGACATGTCTGGCGCTCTCTCTCTCTCTCTCTAGTCTTCGTCTCGGTCTCCGTTTGTTTCCATAACATAAGCAGCTAGACTGACCTGAATGTGACGTTTGCAACAAGAACGTATTATATCGTATTCTTATTCAGCCGTTTCTTCTGTTTAGTCCCGCTTGGAGAAAAGGGCCTCTGGGCGAATCGAATGCGGGCACCCGCCTCTTCGCCTTTCTTGATGGGCGATCCTGCGATCACCTGGACGGGCGGAACGGCGGAGGATGTCCGTTGGACATACTCCGGTGACCGGTGACCGGTTGCTGTGTGGTTCGTAGCCCTGGCTCAGCAACCACACTTCTTCTTCTTCTTCTGGTTCTTAATTCTCTGGAAGAACCTGCTTGGGCTTTCATGTTGGTCATTATACTTTGATTGCAGAAAGACTGGAAGGAGGTTTCAAGGAATCCAGTGACAAACATCGCAGGCCTTAAACACGGCATCCACGTAGCCATCCAAGTTCCATCGAACTTTCATGGTGTGCAGCCTGGGAGGCGGTGGTGCCACTCCATGGTTTGACGCGCACTCTTTCCACCTGTGAATTTGAGGGCCAACGAGGTGCTGACACTGATGTGGGACCTAGATCAGTACATTCTGTAATTCTATACAATACATTCATTTACATTCTGTATATATGGGTTTGTACCCTGGTTATTTTGGTCACTTTAACCAGTGAAATCTGGTGATTGATAATGACTGACAGTATTGACAATACCAAGACATGCACGCGGGATGCATATTTTTTAGCTGTACATAGAGTAATAACATGTAATACCGAGTAATACGTTGTTGTCGCCGTCGGCCATTGTGTGCCATGGAATCATGCTCAACACACCGTTGACCCATGGCACTTGTTTTGAGCAAACCGTTGACCATGTGCTGTTGAACAGTTGAGCCATGGAACCAACAGCAACAATGGAACCCAACTGTCGGGTCATGGGACTGCTCAACACCCTTCCACATTGTGTGCCATGGAACCATGCTCAACACACAGTTATATACTTCTTGAGCGGAATCCTCCCCCCAAAAACTTCTTTGACCCCGGATTTCCGCGCCTGACTCCTCGCTTCTGACGGGTTGAGAGGTCGTCAAGACCCATGGCCCAATGAGGTGGGCCACCATTTGGCCTCCATCATCACCGAGGTGCGCGTGGGCATCGTGGTTGAACAAATCGATGCCAGGCCTGAGACCGCTGCCGCTGGCGATGCCGCTGGCTGAAGGCCACGGCTCATGGAGAATGAGATCCGACCGACCCGCCCTTCATTGGATTGAACAACCTCTTCATTGGGCGGGTTCTGATCAAACCGACAAAGGGCACAGACCTTATCAAGGTAAATGTTTGGGCAATCGCCCAGAAATCGATTTGTTCTGGTGTTGTCTGTGCCAGTGGTGTGATTGGTAGCTACCCAAAGAACATCAGAGTAAAAAGAGTAGCTGCTCTGAGGAGCTTGAATGAGCTTACTCTAACTTCTGGTGATACTTGGTCACTAGTACTTGGGTGAAAAAACGTCAATGCTGGGTACACGCACTTGCGGACAACATCCGTGGGTACACGCACCAGAGCCATTTCTTTCCTACATGGTAGGGTGGCCCTCTTCCACACGCGCGCCGTCGCGCCCGCAGGAAGGAACCCTACGGCCCTCTGAGCCCAGCACAGCATCAAACGCAACAGGCCGTCGATGGGCGAGACCAAGGAAAATGCACCTGACATCATCGCACGACCATGATCTTTTCGTGAGAAGGCTTAGATCATCCGGCACTGACCTACTCCTGCCCCATGCAGGTCAGACCGCCTGCAGATTGCGCCCCATCAGGTGGTCCGAATTGCCCCTGCACATAAGACCACATGGAACCCCCAGAGCCACTGGGTTGGTCTTGAACTGGTCGAAACCAGCGGTCTTTCGAAACTCATGGTTCCATGGGA